CTCGATGGAAAAGCATTGCAGCCTATAGGCCGATGTGTTGTCCATTGGAAGGAATAGATTACACGAAGAAGCCTTCAGTTATTTGCTATTAAGATGTCCATAAATGTCTCTTCGACCCCTCAAGATTAACAGAAAAGTGGAAGAAAATTAAAATCTACGCATTTTACAAAGCAATTTACTACGGTTATCCAAACCGCTGAATGTATTATGGCTACTAATTTATCTCCCGTAAGGCCTGGCGGCTAACCTTCGTTAGCAGACACCTCATTAAAAGGCATATTCGTTGACATTTGCATCTACATTCTGTCGAAAATGTCTTCAACAAATCTCTGCTATTTGTATGCCCCTCGAGGGGAAATATGAGAGAAATGTATCCATATCAACCGGTGAGGAATTTAGGGAGAATTTCGCTTTCCGCTAATCTGGTCGAATATTCCCCTCTGCCTTTTATCGTTTCGCGAGAGAGGAAGGCTTGGCTACTCGATAACATTTGGTAAGTCTTAAAAACAAAATGAAAACTAATAAGCCTTATAATTGGAAGGAGAGGTAGGAAATAGCACCTCCTATGCGCCTATTAGTCATTTCGTGTCCCCAAGATGGTGCGCACGTGTTACCCCCCTGCGCACAGTTGGATTGCAAGAATTGGTTTGTAAGTTCTCGTCTCCCTAACCTAAATATTCCTTTTTTAATTCCAGTTACTAATGTCAAACACAATTTTTTGTCTTATTTTGGAGGACCTTACCATTCGGCGGATGCAAAATTTTTTTTGTATGCGGAAATATTTGAAGTAGGATGACAAGTGGGGTTCTAATAACCCTTTTAAATCGGCAAAAAATCAACTTTTAGGAATGGTCGATTCCGGTGAAAATTAATAAAATGACAAGAAAAGTTCTCGAGGGATGTCCGAGCTCATATTTTTTTAGTCGGCATTGTTAAAATGATTGAGAAATAATGAAATGACAATATTTTTCCTGTATTTTACCGACAAAGTAGACATTGGTTTAGATGATACTGCAAAAAGACAAACTATAAAGACTCAGTTAAATGCAAAATTTTCTTTTAGAATTTGCAAGAACCATACAAATAAATTAATTTGCATACAGACTTGAATATTTTTGTTAAAACTGTTACTAGAAAAATTAAATGAATAAAACTTTAGCAGTTTCGTTCTGTCAATGGTTGGTAAATAGCAGAATATTTTACGCAAAATCAGTTTATTTTATTTATTTTTTGGAGCAAAAACGGCTAATTTGCAACTTAAATAGTCCAGTCTTACAGTTTGTGGACTATGAAAAAAGTATTAATTTTCCAGGATTCAATCAATGCTTGTCTTTGTGGAAAACTGTGAAAGCTTTCAAATAATCACCTAAACAAAAAAAGAATAATAAGGATTATAACTTAAAAAAGCAATAAAAGTAGTTATGAAATTTACTTCGCCAAATTTGGAATCTTAGGCATACTGGAGGTGATTCGGGCTTATCGAGTCAAACAGTAGCGTTACACTCAGTTTCAAAACTCCAGAAGGTTGCACCACGATAGCGTCAATCGCATGCAGAGAAGGTAGGTGAGCGTTGCAGGTCAACCCATCACCCCGACATCCGATCCACTTTCTCAGTTTTGGGACTGAGTCGCTGGAAGATCGATGCACCACCTCCTGGAGGACACCCCACCACCAATCACAGTGATGAAGTGGGTCTCATCATCGACCGGAACAAGTTCAACGTACCGAGCACTCTCAGTCAGGGGCAAAGTTCACGCAATTGGTGAAACAATACACTTCACCAACTGGAGGAGCAAGTTTGTCACGACTCCGAGTGCTTTGGTGGGTGGGGGGATAAGCCTTAAGGACCATCACTTTAGTCATCACTTCCCTCGCTCGTGCTACGAAATGCGTGGCTGGTTCGCTGACTGACTTTCCGATGAGAAATGGCTTTTAGATTGTAGCATTTGCTAGGTGAAGGGACACGTCACTAATCACACACAAATTATCCCCAACCCACTGCACACTTCTAAATCACGCAACCCTTCACCCTCAGATGTGGTGTCGATACTTCCAACCTCCTATCGCAAAACGTGTCCGCCAGATGACCTCATACCCGACAGTTGAGTGGTAGGGCTGACGATTCTGCGTCCTCTTCACCCTCGTTTGCAAAAGGATGGCTTTTGCCATTCCTTGAGTTAAAAAATTGGAGAGACGATAAAAACGGGATTAGCTAAGGCCACATTATTTGGTTCTAAGGAAAAAAATTCCCAAAGTAGTGGTAAAGGGACACTTAAGCCTCACTAAGGATTTGAGGTTCCAATGGGCCTTATCCGACCGAAAAATGGTTTCTTTTTGAAAAGAAAACTGAACAGGCTCAGTCGGTTTAGTTGCAGCTTTAAAAATAGTCCAAAATACTGAAATCGGACAAATGTGATAGCTTCAGTAAGAGGGGCTATCACTGCATTTTCCTAGTACATTAAGTTAAACCATTAAATCTACCTGTGTCAACTACCAAGGTCAATTATCTTAGGTCACCTAGGTCAACATCCCTATTTTATGGCCTTAACAATTACCAACCAATCACATGTCATCTCTCGCCTTACCTTTAGCCGCATTTGATGTTCCAGGTTCTGAAAAGTTCACTGGGCTTCTATTCCCCTCTTCATATATCCCTTCTGACAGTAAGATGGTGAGAAATTCCACTAAACTTTGCGCATCGTCAGTAATGGCAGAGTGCACCCGGAAGACAATCAAACTCCCCGTCGGAGTGGTACCCATTCCATGACGTCCAACAGTGCTGCTCCCAGCAACACTTCGACTGCTACAGATAGAGAGAGCTGGAGAACCCTGTCTGAAACCACCCAAACGGTCTGCAAAGTTGACGCTGTGTGTGTCACCGGGTGTCTGATTCGGACGACTGTTACGCCAGGGGGCAAGGAAGTCCTTGTCTTGCCAGCTGGATGGGGAGAAGGGAGACTCAACTCGTCGGACAGTTAGAGCGTCTTTCTGTTGAAAATGAAGAGAAATTAAAGTTGTTATCAAAGTGTGCTCCCTTTCGACGATTACAAAAGATCAAGTAAAACTCATTTAATGGGTTGGTGTCTTCCAAGAGCTCAGAGGCAAACTTACCACCAAATTCCAGAAAATTTGTTCTTTTATCATTGTATAAACTGTCTGTGCGTTGCAATCAACCACACTCCTTCAACTACTTTGTTGTATTAGACCCAACCAATCTGCTTGCGACACAATGTAATGCGATCCCGGAGACACCGGCAGAGAATGATAAATAAGAAAATGAAAACGGACCTTTCTTACCTGTACTGATACCGGCAAATTAGATACTTTACTGGTGAGGAAATGAAATGGAAGTTATTCTCGTTTGTCAGACCTTTGCTAGGCCAGGTATATACTACTTAAATAAAAATTTGATCCTCCGACTGAGATCGGTTCCGTACACCTAATTCACGCTCACACCAGTTAACGATAACAATTGTGCCTTTTCTTAATAGACATTGACTTGCTCTTTCCACTTCTATAAAGTGCTTTTCTACTACAACTAAAGAAACATTAGCCATAGCTAATTGTTTTTTCACTTTTATTTCGAGCTCAACCATCTACCATACTTTAAACTTGATTGCCTGATATCGGAAAAAGGCGGAAACTACTGGGAGAAAAAACATTAGAGGAATGTGGAGGAATCAAGTAAAGCAAGATTTTTTCCCCACCATTCAATTTTGACCTGGTGAGGTTTTAAATACTTGATTAGTGCTAACTTCCTTCGAAACAGATCTTTTGAGGGCACCGTCAAGATGTGTCTTATCAATGGGGATAGATTCCAACCCAAACGGGAGGTGATGCCTTGTGAACAGTTGCGTCTGCAATCCACGCCGGAACCACACGCAAGCATGCACACTTACGCGCTAAAGGAGCATAATCTTTTGGAGATGAAGTGGTGCGTGATTTAGAAGTGTGAATCAGGTAGTGGATAGATGGATGTGGAGTGGTGGGAGACGCGGATTCGTCAGCCCTACCACTCAACTGTCGGGTATGAGGTCATCTGGCGGACACGTTTTGCGATAGGAGGTTGGAAGTATCGACACCACATCTGAGGGTGAAGGGTTGCGTGATTTAGAAGTGTGCAGTGGGTTGGGGATAATTTGTGTGTGATTAGTGACGTGTCCCTTCACCTAGCAAATGCTACAATCTAAAAGCCATTTCTCATCGGAAAGTCAGTCAGCGAACCAGCCACGCATTTCGTAGCACGAGCGAGGGAAGTGATGACTAAAGTGATGGTCCTTAAGGCTTATCCCCCCACCCACCAAAGCACTCGGAGTCGTGACAAACTTGCTCCTCCAGTTGGTGAAGTGTATTGTTTCACCAATTGCGTGAACTTTGCCCCTGACTGAGAGTGCTCGGTACGTTGAACTTGTTACCTGTTACTTTTTTTGGTCACCTAATAAAGCCTTTATGCTATAAGCAAAGAATTTGAATTGACTTTTCAAAACTCACTAAAAATTATGAATAAATGCCGTTTTCACTCTTTTTATAGAGTAATTTTTCGAAAAAAATATTTTATGATCCATTACTGTAATTGGCACACTTACTTTGTAATTAAAGGCTGATCAATTCAGTACACCCAAAAAGTGCATTAATTACACAAATTCACAATTTTAAATGCTAAATAATTGCGAAAAAGCCCTCTCTTTTTGCGGAAAATCAATTAAAAAAACCAGAAATCTTTTTTTGGCACGTCCTTTTCCTTTTTGGGCCACTTTATGAGTTAATATTGACGCAACCATCATGCTTTCACTGATTTTGGAATCACTTTTCTCACTCATGTCTAATCAGATTTCAATTCACTGCATGTTTTTTGGAGCGTGAAATGCTACTAAATAAGGCCACGTGCATACTACTTATAAGGGATTCAAGTAAGTTTTGTTTCATTTACAGGTATTCAATCGTTAATCACCGCTGTTTGCTTAGCAACCTTCCACTTTGACATCTCATTCATGCACAATAACATCATAGTCAAAGGTCAAAATTAGAGGAAAATTATATAAAATTTTGAATTTTTCGATACCTTATGTGAGGCTCAAAAGTAGCTTTCAAAGTGTAATTTTTTGAATTATTAATTACTCTAACTTAAATTTTTTGCATATTGACAATTGACTGGCTCTAAACCTGTCATTAGCATCGACTAAGGGTCTGATTAATTTGACATTTTCTCTCTGAAACATCTATTTGCTAACGTTCTTATGTAACTTTTCATGTTTTGTATTTCGTTCTTGCAGGATTATTTGCAAACTCTAGTAAAGAAACTCCACGAATGTTTTCACCCACCTGTAGGAAAAGCTCGTGAAACCACTTTTTACACAAAATCAGTGTCACAAGAATCATGTAGAGGGGAAAAAGAAAACGGTTTAAGGTGAAGTTGAGATGCAAAATGATCAAAAAATAGTAACTTCGAATTGATGCTAGTCATAAGTGAAATCCGATCCTAGAAAAGACGAATCCAGATTTTGTCGATTAGTTAGCAAGTTATGAAGGAAAAATGGTCGCCGTCATTGGTTTTTGGCAGCGGAAGCAGGGAATGCTCACTACAGAAGGGTTAAACGGTATTTTTTGCTGACAAATTGCCCAGCTAGAGCTTTAAAGTAGTAACTACTAAAGGGACAAGGACTTACTACGTTTCATCTAATGTAACGAACTGTATCGTAGACTGAGAGGATGATGCTCCTTTACCGTAAAGGGGAAGTGAAATACTTAATGAGCTTCTCGTAGGACATCACAGTGTTTAAATATCTCCACCAGACCTTCGACAATTAAAGTCATCAGCGGGTAGTGTTTCAAAGTTACTTAAATTTTATAAGGCTTTGTCGCAGACTAAGTACAAGGGAGATCAGAGAAGAGCGTCAGGAAAAGAAAGGCAAACTAAGGAAAAAGGCGAAAAAAATTATTTTGTTCCTTAACGCATGTCGGGTTTCGAGATCGACTACTTGGGGCAGGTAACGAATACTTTTTAATGTAGGAACTTCCAAATTTTTCAACAAATTCTGTAAACGTGATTTCTTGATATTCTGAAGGGTGACTAGAAGTTAAATTTTCTGAAGGACTACTTATTGGTGGAGTATTTACTATTTTTATGTAAAACCATTGACAGGGCAGAGAAAAAAGGGCACATTCCTTTTAATTATAGGGTCTTGTTAAGTCAAAATGCAGGAAAAAAGATAACTTGAAAAATACCACCAAAATGCTTGACAGGAGAGCTTATGACAAGGCAAAAGTTGATTGACAAATCGTTCACTTCCAGGGTCTCAAGGCAAAATTGACCACCACAGAGATGCTATGTTTTAGTTTTCTTATAGAAATGCAGTAATTTTGACCAATGTAAGCAAAAGTTTGTCAAAATCAGAGCGTTGCATGCATATGGCAATGGTAATAGACAAGTGAAGATAAACTCATTTATCATGAAAAGAAACCCACGGTATCGCAGTAGTCTTCCACAAGATGCACCTGCCAAAGCGGACGATCTAAGGGAAGTTCCACAGCAGCCAACTGTCCAACTAACATTTCCACGGGATCCTTCTCTACCTCCACCATTCCCTCCTCTTCAGGAGGTCGCTTTTTTGGTGAGAGACGCCGTCCATAGCCGAGTCGATTCTGTCCAACCAAATACGCTGGTACGACATGCTCATCAATGTTGACTGAAGAACATCTAAAGAAGGATGGTTAAATCTACGAAAAACTAAGACAAAGAAGTTATTAAAAAGGTGATGATGGTTCTGTCTGGAGGACTTCGTAAATGCTAATAAAGGAGAATAAAACAAAGGTGTCTCAAGTAGAGCTGTTTGGTCACCACGATCTGCCACACTGATTATAAAGTCGTTACGGACAAATCGGAAGCTACTCACCTTTGCCATGCATAGCCCGTCGGTAGAGGGACAACAGTTTGTTGCAACCGCTCCGAAAACCACTTTTCCATCCCTGGCGATCCATTTGGTGTCAGTTTCTCAGTTGCCGTTGAATCTGTCGAGAATATGCGTTGAACAAGAAGGCGCTTTAGAGCTGCTATCTTAATTCCAGGGCTCCCGAGATAGATCGCCACAACGGTGTTCCTTCCCGCATCTTCGCCATGAAGATAATGCAGGGAGAGGGAGGAAAGTGTCTCCACTAGACTAGTCCGTCTATGTTGGGCAAGCAGGAGGCCAATTTGCCGAATACAATAGGAGACACAGAAAGCGGGTAGGAGGAGGATGAAGAAAGCGGTCCATGCCAGATAAGAGACGAGAAGAAGACTAAAGTGGAAGACATAAAATGTGACATGAAAGACATCTTGACGCAGATAAGAGGTTGGTATTGGTGTTGTGGTCTGGACATTAATAGTGGTAGTGCTGGCAGAAGCTGCTGTCGTCGGGGAAGCTTGTAGACGAGATTTGCGCTCTTCCAGGAGTCTTGGTCTCGTTAATGGTCGAGGTGGCGGTGGTACCTGACCACTGCGTTTCGGAGCTGGTACCTTCACTGAGTGTGAACGAACTGAATAGGAAAAAAAGAGTAGCATTGTAATACAAGGAAAGAAATGAAATACGACCCTCTGCTTCATAATTTAACCAGATAATTTTCTTTAGAAATAAAAAAGATTTCGCTTGTTAAATTAGTAAATGAGACACAAGCCCGCTACGAATTCCGCTTTTGCATAATGTTTTGTCACAAGACGCAGAAGAAAGGCCTTAGCCCTAGTTGCCTCCTCTGCTATTTTGACTTTACTTTCCAACTGTTTCTTCCCCTTCACATTTGGTTGTATGATGCCAAGAAAAGGCGGTAATCACAGCTTGGATAAGAGGACGAGACAGCACCTTTCTTTCCTCCTGTTCTCATCCGAGGATGAAAAGGTCCTTATGTGCAAGTTGTACGACGGTATGACGTCCTGCTTGTAGGTTCCCTTTTTAGGTGCCCTGTTTGATGCTTGCGAAGGCTTAGAGTGGGTAAGAAGGTGATTATATGAGGGTATTTGAGGATCAGTTCAATCACCCAAAGAAACCACATCGGAAGTCAGTTAACATGACCCTTTAAATCCGTTGTCAGAATACACGCCTCCACTGTCCAGAGATTTCAATTGTCTCTATTTTTTACGGTCTGAGGAAGCATTACCGACTCTTTCATCAACAAGTGTCTTTTCGCCCCAAAAACTCACTTATAAATTGCATATATAAGTAAAAAGGTACGAAATATGCCACTTTATTTTCTCTTTATCCATTCAAACGACGAATGAGTTATCAATTACAAATTGGACCACATCCTTTTCTCCTGCAAAAGATAATTTTTTTTTAGGAAAAGGATGTGCTCACTTTGTTTATGAATTAGGGGTAAATGGAAACAAGAGTGTTGAACTTTCTGCGCTGAAATTTACCGTACTGTGGAAATAAAAAGACCACTGAAGGTGCGAGTCCGGTCAGTTGATGCCGTGGTAATTTCCTATTTTGCTAAGTTAAGTGGCCAACTACGGAGGCCACTTCAGTAGTCTCAAGTTTCACTTTTGCTCTGCGGAATGCTTTTTGGCCCATGATGGTAAGTGGCATGTTCTCTTATCTAACTTTGCCCTACCACGAGCTCAATGGAGACGCTGGATGCTGTAGATGCATTTTAACTCCTCTGATATACTGCGCAAGTAAGAGAAATTTCCTTACAAATTTGCAGTTGGCACCGTGTTCTGTTTAAAACAGAAAGGGGATTAAATAAATTCCAGCCCTTTCTCTAGAAACAGAAGGCAAATGACCGAGAAAAGTATCTTTTCAGAAGGCACTTTCTAAAAAAGATGAATGATTTTATTTCCATTATTAATGGTCCTTTTTGTCCTAGTCATCTACACTTCTACTTCGATACCACTTTTATCTCTTCAGCTATCTATTTCTACTACACACACGATAGTCTAATCCCACAAAAATGTATTAATCAGGAGGAATTCGGTGTTTGAAGGGAAGGATGCATCTCCTCTCCTCTTAATGCATTTGCACATCTTCCCACAGGTGGGTCCTAAACCAATGACTTCTTGCAATTTCCTTAAATACGGGAGCTTTTCTTTTGATTTATTAACCAGTTTGGTTGTTTTTCAAAGGAATTTTCCTGCACATGTTCAAATTTTATTACAACGAGTAGATGGATCTCCATTGCAGTCGCGTGGTTATTAGCAAGAATCTCCCAGCCTTTTCAAATGTTGAGTAGCTCATATTACCTATTTAATCCTCTCCTGCATGATACAGTGTCCCGCTACCGCGCCTCTTCTAAAGTGATCCTTATGAATAATATATACATAATCAGTCCTCCCTAAAGTCGTAGAACGACAAAGCGTCGTTAAAGAACACGCATTACTAACGTACGGAAGAGTTAAGAGGCTGCTGAAATGATTCGAAGAATATGCCACAGAACAGAAGGACAACCTGCGACGACTAAAATCTCCGCGTAGCTCAGCTAGATCACCACAGCTAAATAAGAGGCTTCTACAACTTGGCAGTCAAGACTACAAACGACCTCAAATCACCACAAAGTATCAGAGGTCCATGTGCCCAAGTAAATTATGGAAAGGACAAAGAACAACTCCTACAGATTGACATAAATACCCCGACACTTTGCTACAAGCTACACCTAGTGCTTTCAAAGTGTCATGTCAAAATGTGCATAGTCTTTTTGGGTTACGTCAAAATACGTCAAGATATAGTAGGTACGTGAAAATTATTCAGCTGTTTACACGCCCAAATGGCGACTTTTGTAAGATGGATTCCAAGTACTAGGTACACCTGTTCATAGTGCTTTAAGGTTAAGAAGTAAAGAAGCTTTAAATAAGGCAAAACTACTTCAGATACTCAAATCTGTGCACTGAAAAACAGCTAATTCTGGCCATTAAAAAAAAGGCCAGGTAAACAAATATGTAGTGAAAGATTTCTTCGTCTCACAGTTTAAAGTCTACGCATTGGAAAATACAGATATTTTTACTCTCTTGAACAAAAGCTACACAACAAAACAATAATTTAATTTTTGGACCGCGCTATGTTCAACCCGGAAACACTAAGTTAACTCACTCTACCAGGGTAACGATCCCTACAAAAAGTATAAGAATGCTTGTCCGTTTACTTATCACCACTTAAAAGAAGCGGGAACAGCTTCCTCTAAGGTCATTAACAAGTGAAACCACTGGAAGCACCCATCTTTGCCTCCAAGACACAAAAACACCCTCATTGTTCCTCACGGATATGCAGTGACTTCGAAGCAAAATTTCGTCAATTTAATTCTCCTTATATCCCTGTAATTATCACCAAAAAACGAATTTACTACTTAATAAGACCATTTTTTGGCTAGAAATTGCCCTAAACAATCAGTGAAACCCCCTATTTCCCAACAAATATTTTATTTAATGACTTTGGAAGCAACTGTGTTTGAATGCCAAAAAATTACAATTTGTTTTGTAATACATTGGTTGTTTGTTTAACTTTAGGTCCTGGTAACGGGCCACTTAGGGGCTCCGCCACTGTACCTTTACCGGGCGGACTGGCATCCGGCACATGCCAGTAGCCCTAAGACCCTCTGTACGTCGACAATACACACTATACCGGAGCATTATGTCTTCCTCCGTCTTCAGAAAAATCTCGGAGCACTACGCTTTCGTCCAAATTCTCCCATAAAATTTCCATTAGGAATATTTCTCAGATAAACAGGGGAAAAAATAAGTTAACATTTTTTTGTCAGCCCCCCTCCACCCAAAAAAGTTGATCGTTTTCCCATGCGCTTATGGGGAAGGAAACTGCTTTCTACGTCTCTCTCCGGTAAAAAAAGGAAGAAATGCCCACATTTTAGTTTAATTTCTTATCAGTATTTCGTAAATACTCAAAATTTACTTAAAATATATCAAATATTTTCTATTTCTAGGCATTTACCAACTATTTTATTCTTCATTTTGCTCCATAAATTGCAGTGTTTAAGGTGTTTCAAGTGCTTTTGAAAGCATCGTTTTATAACAGAAGAAAAAATCCAACCTTCCGGTAAGCTGAATTATTTGGGTGAATAGCGCCTTTTTTAAAGCCAGCAACGTCTGGAATTTTTGCAAAAACCCCTAAAAATTGCTTGTTTGTTTAAATAATCCACCATCGTATCTGAAAGCAAATGACCGAGGAATAGCATTAGAAAAAAAGGTGAATGGAGACATTGGGTGTAAGGGAGGGGCACCGCCTTCCTTTCTTCCGCACCTTCGCCCATTCTTCTCACCGCTTAGTCATCTAGCGGCGCAAAAGCTGCAGTCGTACATGTTCCAGCTAAAACACGACATTTTTCTGACTAATTCACTAATTCTGGCAGGTCCTAGAGGAAAGGTCTTTTTTTCCACCCTTAAAATGCATTATGTCGACATAGTGAAAAGGTTTCTTTTGTGTCCCACCACTGACATAGCAAGTGACCTCCAGTAAGGCCCTGGATACACCGTCTTGTCGTCGTATTCTTTTTAAATACTCCATTGGAGAAGCTTCTGTACATTCTAGTTCCAGATGAATATAGCTTGTGAAACAGGCAGACTCGAACCACATCCATTAAAATCCAATCGTACAATAGAGAAGCATGGAGTACCCTACCGACAGGTTGATGTCCCTCACTGCTTTATGGCGTGTGGATTCCACGTTTTCTTGGTTACTTTCCATCTAGATATGCTTAACCAACTCATACACTGGGGGATACTTCCTCTTAAGCATTGCCGCAGCGTCGCACTGCGTTTGAATGGGTCTCTAGGGCTTGGTACTTTCCTACCTGTCGAAAGAACAGCAGCATATTCTTGTACTCGGGCCTATTGACAGATGGATACACACACATTTACAAGCCAATGCGACTACAGACATAACTGCAACGGAAGTCTTTTTTGCCCTAAAAGCTCCATTATCACTATTATGCCACCAGTCTTGCAGTCATTCTGGGTACTTATGACCAGGCTACGGATGAACTGCTTTGACTGAAAGCGTCTTCGTCAACAGAATAAATGAAAAGTAGTTGGCGCATCGTTTTACCCTACTATATCACCATAAAGTGAAACTGGAAGAAACGGAGAGTCAGGAAGTGGTCCCGACTCCACGGAGAAACAATGGTAAAAAATTGCTGCGATTTAATTTGTAGACAACGCAAACGGTGATTTCGTTACAAACGGAGATCTTCCAAGCAGTGTAGAAAAATTATGGCCAGATTTTCCTTCCTTTTTAATTCAAAAGGAGCAAGAGACTAGCTAACGGCAAAAATAATGAATTAATCGCTGGTGGAGTCGAAGGAAGTCCCTAACTGAGGCGTGAATTAGATATCCTCACGCAGGCTTTTTTAATTCCTTACAAATTGACCACATACCATTGACGTAGACGGCTACTATGACATCAGTCTTTCGACCAAAAAATAACTCGAATATACAGTTAAGTGCCTTTAAAATGATAATGGGAAAAGTACATGGGATAGAGACGTGACTTCAAAAAACAATCTGTACCCATCTTGAAGGCTGCCGTAGTCACGCCTAGTCCAGTCTCTAGAGGAGAAAACTCACCAACAAAATTCGTGCACCGAAAAGTGTAATAAAAGAACTAGTAGATGAGATGCTACCTAAGTATTTATGGTGCCCCTTATTTGACACAATGATTTACGTAAAGGATCAACAAAGATGATTTTGTAAACGTGAAGCTTCGTTCCGACTCTTTCAGATGCTAGTGACTAGCACATTAAAAAATAGTCATGAAATCACGCTAAGGCTAATGGTCCCAACTGTCGTAAAATTGCCTTTATGTAAACTACTCAATCTCAGTTTATTTCCGAATTACTCCCATAATCAAATGTCGTATAATATCAAATTACCAGGAAGTTTTCCCACTCCACCAATCCCAAAGGCCTTAGAGGAGGTCCACTGTTGAGAACGGGACCGTGGTTTGAGAGGCGCAAGCTGAGGATTGGGTGGCGGTGGGGGAAGAGGTGGAGGCGTGGGAGTGATAGGAAGGATCACGTGGGGTGGTTTGCGCTCCGCAAAGGAGCCTCGACCGGGGATGTAGGCGGTGGAAGACATCGGTGTACGACTCAACGGTTGTGGAGCGAGAGGAGGGGAGGCAAAAGATTGTGATGAGACTCTGGCAGAGGTAGTGGATGGAAGGCAAAGAGAATTGCGACGAAGTGGTGGGGTTGACATCAGGTCGAAGGTGGTGTCATACCCCAATGCTTGTCTGATTTACAGAAAGAAATTCGAAAGGACCTTTCAATATTAGGATGGTAAAAAAACACAAACTAGCAGTGACAAGTAAGTTCGTCAGCTTTGCAAATAGTTTTTGATAAGAGTACAAAAAAATCCAAGTGATATGTAAATATTCCCTGAATATCAAGGTAATCAACTGAATAAATGCCGGAAACGCCAACCATACATAAACTTTAGTGGCTTAAAAAGACCAAAGTTTAAAGAATCGCTATCTGATCAAAAACAAAAAAGTTATTTTGTGGGTCTGATAAAATTGTAATCAATATCAAGGCTCATACAAAAATATCACCAGGTGACCTTGATCCGAATTATCAGGCGGCGGCTAGGAAAGTGGGGTGGTGCACTAAAACACTTTTGTTTGCAATATTTGACAGTATATCATTATTAAAGAGTAAAGCAAAATACATGCAAATACTTAAAACAATATACTTTTGCAGCATTTTGGGTCAAAATATTGCGCAACTTAATATATTTTGTACCAATTGAGTTAGCTGCCAAGGCATTTTGACAGGCTTGTCCATTAAAATGAAGGCAAATTTATTTTATGGCTGCATTAATTAAAGTAAATCTTTACCATATACTTTGCTTTTGCCAGTGACGGATGACATTTTTCTTGTAATTTAATATGTTGCAAACGAAGTAGGTACTGTACCATATTTCCACCAAAGTCATTTTTTGTCTTTTTTATTTTTGTCGTCTTTTTCATAGAAGGCTTTTCACGCATGAATTTGAGACTGGCGTAATTGTATCGATAGAGTACTTTAAATCATCTTCCTTCTTATGCAAATTCATGTTTCACTAAATCGTTTTTAGTTGTTTCCATAATTTCTGCTTTACTTGTCATTTTATGAAATAGGTAAATCTCCACCGTCAATTTTTACATAAAATCGTTGTGTTTTATACAGTTTGAAATATTTATCCATTGTGCGATTTTTGCTTTCCTCCCCCTTCGTGCATATTCCAAACTTCAGGAATAAACTAAGTACTGTTTTGAGTTCTACGGCGTTTTCCTAAGCCTTTTTTAGTTTTCGCTTTGTCATTGCCGCCTTTTTTGACACTCAACTCGGTGTCGTCTTGATTTTTTTAATCTGAGTAGGAGAATGGTTTCATTTTTTGTCTTTTACGCCTATAAAGCCTTGGCCGTCCTTAAATCCGATTGAATGCTGTTTGTACTGCTTTAGGTTTTCGAAATTCTCTCACTCATTAACCGTCAAATGTGTGCACCTTGGTCATAATTACCGAACATTCCGTTGAAAACATGACACCTTTCTGTTTACACAGGAGCCGTATTTGTTTTTGAACTTGGAATTCACCTCCATATGCCGCGAATTCTCGACCTCAAAGTTTATTCCCCCTTCTGAACACTTAGTGTACCAAATAAGGCAGGGATAAGGGCCATTTTTTTAACTACCTTGTTATAAATTCGACCATCGTGATTGGTTATGAGAGGACTGAGATAAGGGCAAAGGCTGCTTGGTGGTGTTTCATTATGCTTGGTGAATTTTAAGCCTATCCACGTTTGTCAACCTTACTGATCCGAATGGGATGTAGTGAGCATAGACGAAAAGGAATCATTTAAACTGGAAGTTTACCCTTAACGCACGTCTAAGAACATTCAATTAGGGGTAAAACCCGTCCTCTAGGTAGCTGCCTTAATTATGCCTCCGTCGGAGATATGCCACAGTTTGAAAGACCTTCCTCCTGCTACGAACACGGCGGATCTGATTTGGGCTTGTTTACTCTGGAGGGGTCTAAACTCGACTAGCACCACGCGACCTTATCGTCTCATTACTGTAGCATTTGGAGAAGGTTGAGTAGCTGGACTTTCACTCAAAGGTTCATCGCGATTTAGGAAGGTACTTTATTCGTAGTTGTGAAGATCCGAGTACCCATGATGACGCGTTAACCCGAGATTACGCTGTCAAGACATTGCATTAACGTTTGGCATCAGCGGTAATACACACCCACACATCTATATCAACCAGTAGACGAAAATTCCACTCACGTGTCATTCACCAGCCGCCATTGACAAGTTCTGAGGGTCCCCAATCTGCTCCTCCCTTCTGCATTTAATGAAATGCACCGTTTGTAGACTAATGTTGGGCTACCTGGTGATGAGAGGTGACTTTTCGTGTTTCAGCATTTGTTACAGAAGTGATGCGCTGACCACTAACCCCGCACCTCTAAGTCACCCAGTGTTTGATATTTGCAAGTGTGTGGAGTGAGTGTTTTGGACCAAATATGCAATTGTTTACCTGTGAATAGGCGAGCAGTTCCTACTGAGGTCTGCTTACTTGACATTACACTACGCCTAGGACTTTAATACCTTGCACCGCAAAAATTGCTTTCAAAGAGATTGGCGAGACGAAGGGAGGTTGGGAAGGAGATACTTTTACACCCATACTCCCTTTTTTCAGGTAATTATCACCACCTTTCCTTGGCATTAGCCGATCGTATGCAAAGCTGAAAGAGCGAGTGAATGCGAAATGAGTGCGAGGGAAATGAAGGTGGGTAGGGTTGTTATTTAGAAAAATTTAGCGCATTTTTAAATAGCTCTGGAAATCCAACATTTCGTATTAGCTCATATTCCTGAAATGGACTAAAAGAGCTGCATACTTGCTGCAAAATTCATTTATTCATGTAAGAATTTTTTCGCCATAACCAAACAATATTTGTTTTAATTGTTTCTTTCGTGGCTATTCAGTCTTTTAGGATTCTTTGCTTATCTCGGTGTCTTGGATACTTCTCCACGTCTACAGCCTTCCCGCGCTTCTGTGCGGTCAGCATAAAGCCAACGTTTACATTGGGAAGCCTAATCACGTCCTCAAAGGTGATTTGAGGTGTCAGGTCCTATTAAGTACGTAAAAAAGGCTAAAGACTCCAAACAAAATAAATCGCCTTAATACAGCTCCCAATTAAGCAGCTCACCATTACAGGAAGCGATTTTAAGTCCCCCAAACACCGTTTCGATAGATGACAAGGGAAACCAACCACAGAGAGTACTGTAAACACTATCCACAGCAAGACTATGGCTGGATAGTACAACAGTTGTTTGAATCGCGAACACAGTTGGACCCGACTTATTGGTGTGTCCAGCAAAGCGAAGTCTAGATTTATGCGAGATAGGATGTTGAATCAGTGCAATTTAGGACAATGGGATAGACATAGACGGGCCCAAGCTCACATATGCGCCATTTTCTGATATAGGAAAGAAGAAAATATGAGGTTTTTACTTTTAAAATGCTCTCACCAATGGTTGAACAGGTGTAAACAGTGTGTACCTATGACTCCCCGTATGACTAGCACCAAGAGCGCTCGTTCGCACCCGCACAGTCGTGCACACGCACACGTAACAGACAGTTGACAGATGCTTCACCTTTGCAACGCACGATGACCACAGAGGAGGTAGCCACTGAGCCCAGTCTAGTGATCACACTGATGACGTCACAGGCACCGGGTCCACATTGGATTCACGACTGTCCGGAGTCCAAACTGAAGTGGTGGTTTCCCCTTGCTCTCACTGCAGCTATATATGCGGTTAACATTCTCTACATTCTTGGAAAGTACCTCCTCAAACGACTTCGTCCTGAACCAACTCCACATTGTACTGCCTACCCCAACATCTTCCGAGGTATCGATCACAACTCCTTTGACGATGATGACCAGGAACTGGATTTTATGGAGGAGGAGCCATTTGCGAGATCACAGGCTTTTTGGGTGGATGATAATCAGTGGAGTGATTTGGATGACTTGAGAACGCCCCACACATCGACAATTGTAGCAACCACACTTGCGGTTCCGTCAGAGCAGACGGTGAATGACGAGGAGGAAGAGGATGAATCGTTTCCTGGAAGACGCATAAAACAATCCGAAAAGGGAATAGGGGGTGAGAAAGTGAAAGACAATGGTGTTGCCCTCCAACTGAGTAATAGCGTAAACGTGAAGACTGTTGAAGAGGTGTTGCAAAAAAAGAATGTACGACATCTTTTGAGACAGAATAGATGCCTAGGAGGACAAAATGGGCAGTTGACTCTAAAAATACGCATCTATTGTGAAAAAATGACCTCAGTTTCCTATCCAACTGGTCGATTTATGGTAAGCCAGCATTGTCGTTATTTTTTTTTCTGGTTTTGGCCCTTTGACTTCGAAGAGCCTTTTAACAAATAAACAATTCGTCGCTTCGTTTAAGCCTAACCTCTCGGTTAATGCATGATTCTTTTATATGTTTAAATGCGCCTTGAATTACGACCTGGCTGTCGTCTTATGCCAATCTCTCCTTCTGACAAACGTATGATTTAATTTTCTTGTACAAATTTGTTGACTGAGGTTTTGGCTGAATAGTTTTTCGCAGCGAATTTTTGAAACATCCATTAGAATTCTTTTTTAAAATGAAATTTAAGGGCAATTTGGCGTCTGAGATTCTGTTGACTCTCAGCATGGCTCCAGACCACTTTATTTATCTGGCCTTCGGGCTCCTACAGGGGCATATGCACAATACTCCTTAGTTGTTGCCATGTTGGTAGCATTCTTCTAAGACGATCAAATAAATTAATTTTAACTGTATAGAAATAAAAAATAGGTTAGGATAGCTCAAAAAAATTGCGATTGCTCAAGGAAAAAAAAGGTTTCTCCGATTCAACCAGTTTATCACAAGATAGCAGTTTTATAAGATACTAAGGCTCTAGGAGCAAAAACAAAGCCCTGGCCACCCCCTTCCCCACAGTTTTCATATCTCACCTTTTCGATTCAAACGTCTGATCTGCTTCACCTGTAATTGCCTGATCACGCGAAGAAAACATTTTTTTACGAGTTAGGCAAAGCATTAAGCACACAAATTTACTCGATTTGATATTTCACATTAAAGCTACCTGAAAAAATAGCTTTTTAAGTAGTAATTAATTACATGGCCTTAGACTTTTAGAAGAAGAATAATTGTTGTGTTTAATTTTCGTAAAAATTTGCTGGTTGTCCTACAAGCTGATGGTTCTCAAGTTAAGCCTATTTGGTGCATTTGGCTCAGATTGCAACGTCAAATCAACTCTCCCATGACACTTGCATCGAAAACGTTGTAAAACACTTCTTAGCAAGGGCAAAAGTGTTCCCCTTTTGTCGAAACATGTCAAGTAGCAATTACAGGTAAAGCAGATCGGATATTTGGATCAAAAAGGTGAGATATGAAAACTATGGAGAAGAGGGCGGCCAAAGCTTGGTTTTTTTGCTCTAAGAGCCTTAGTATCATGTGAAACTGCCGTCTTGCGATAAAGTGATCGAATTGGAGAAACATTCTTTTTTTTCCTTTAGCAATCGAAATATTTTTAGGAGCTATCCCAACCCATTTTTTTATCTCTAAACAATTACATTAAGCCATGGTAACAACTTCCCCTCTGACAGATAGAGACACTAGTCAGTGGTCACATGTCAAATTGGTTCCGACAAAATTCAAAAGGTGCGGAAATCGACTTGCCCCTAACTTATTCCTTCTGCTGTCCATCACCCTCCTATTTAAGGTTTGGCTTAGAAAAGAAGTAGAACAATTTTTAGATAATTCGTACACTACACATTATTTGGGTTTTTCCCTTTTAGCTTGTAGTTTACGTACTTCTGTGCACGATGAGCTGGATTATCTACATTATTGGAACGATCTTGTAAGTCTTCTTTGCCTTTCCGAATTGTCTCTTCATAAAAGAAAACTTCCGAATTTAAAAGGTGTGGTAGAAAAAAGGCGAAAAAAGCTTATATTTATCGAAATGAAAAATGGGAAATGCAAGTTAATTTTTCTCCCGTATTATCTACGTCCGTATAACTGCTGACCACTTTTTTGCCCATCCCGACGTTTTTTAACGGTGCCTTTTATCCTAATTCAGCCTCTACAACATAGAAACTCAACCCGATGTCATAAAGTAAGTTAATGTCGGAAAAGTCTTCCTTTTTTATAAATTAACCTACAAAAAGCTAAATCTCTTCTCATTGATAGAGCTCTCGAGGGTCGTCCACCACTGATAGTTCAAGGTCTCTGTCTAACATCTGGGTTGTCGATTCTCAATTGGAGTGATTTGGCCATTCACACCTACTTCCTGATCTATTTCATACTTCGGGTAGGTTCGACACCATTTTACTACATTTTACACACCAAAACTGCTTATTTACGGCGTCAGCGTCATCAAAAGGGGCGGCTCGAGGACTCCTCCTACTTTACTTACGTTAAGTTAAATTCTCACGCTCAACGATGACACCCTCATTGCGTAAAAAATGATCGGCGCCAATCTGCCGGATGGATGGTTGGTTCGACATTTATGAAGACGCCGGGATTATGTTTAGTGACCGAAAATCTATTTGATGACGTTGTCCATGGCACCGTATTGATGGCACAATTAGTTTAAACAAAAATGTTCTATACTGTCTTGCCTCCTTGATTTCATAATATCATGATAACGGAGGCAAAGTATTACTGAGGTAATGTGGAGCAAACTAAGTTCTAAAACAGTGGCCTTTGAAGAATAAATGAATTCCGATTTGTACAGAACGTTGTTCTTGACGTTGAAATTACGCTTGCCAAATTTATTTGAACTCTAGCAAGATAATTCCATACCCAGGCGGTGACAGTTTGGACGATTTTTACCGACTCGAGTGAGAGTGGAGGGGAGTTCTACAGGGAGAGCAGCTTAGGTTACTCACGAATTTGGACACATCTTTACATTCGGTCCTACACTAAAGTCATTTTTTTAACGCGATTACGGAATCTTGAAGCATCTTCTATAACCTCGATGGAACGGTCAGGGGTCGCAAAAGGGTGCACGGGGTCAAAGGCAGATGCAACATTCTCATATATTTGCTTTCCGTGGATTTAATTGCACTTTTCAGCTTTTTCTTTTCCTTCTCCTTTAGCTTGGAGCTGCGGTAGACCGAAACATGTTCTTCTTTAAGATAACCTCGTTGGTTGATGTGCTTACAATATGTGGATCATACGTTGCTGCCTTTCAACCGCGTTACCATCTCGGTCAGTGAGTTCACTTAAGCGCATCTTCCATGATCAAGTTAGTCATTACAGCTGATGATCCGACCTCGGTTTACACCACTTTGACTCCACAAATATGCAGTCGTTTCCCATTTCGTATTTGCAAGTTTCCCGCATGACTATTCCTTTTTGATGTAATAACGTGAATATCCCATTGCTAGGTTGCTGCATCTCTAATTTATAAAACTTTACTTCAGGCTTGGCCTAAGGCACATCGTAATTAAACGTGTCGCTTAAAGATGCTTTCATTCTGTGTTGTTTGTGCTCAACGCCTTGACTTGGCGCCATTCACGAGTTAAGCTGTACCAAGGAATGATTAAATCAGCTCCGATCGGTGTACACTTTTATTAGCCTCCAAAGGAATACCGATTTGCGTAAGCGTTTTAAAGTTGACTCCAGTACATACCTGGCATATAAGTATGAGACCTCGTTTCGATGTAGAATCCTCTACCTCGTGTAACAATTGTTCAACAGTCAAAATAAAGTCGGATTGAATTTTGACTCCAGCACGTATCTACGGATCGGTGAGATTCAAAAGATATGAAATTTTGATAGTTTATTAAGAGTGAAAAACTTATGAGAGCGGAATTGAGATGGAAGGAATTCCCTACCGTGCAATGAAGCACATCAAGCTGGTGTGTTTACTTTTAGCTTGAAGGCTATGGGTCTGAAGGATATGTCCAGACGCCAAGTTGAGGTTTATCGTTCTACATATTTCACAGACTAAACATAAAGCCATCAGTATTCACTTTTGTTTCTTTGGTAGTTTCTTTGGTTATCCTAATGCATAAGGAGCTGTTCTAGAAATCATAAACGATCGCGAGGCAGGAGCGTAGGTGATTCGATGAATCGACATTGTGGAGAGACCTCCACCTTAGTGATGGTGTGTGGTGTATATCCGGTCGATGTTTTAGAATATCCCATCGTCTGCATTGGCAAAGCCCTAGTTTGAAGTTAATTTAAACAAAACTTTGATAAATCTTTCACTGCGAGTCTTCACAACCTGAGTTATTCACACTAGATCGATGCAAAGAGGCAAGTAGAAAGGTTTACCTTAAACGCAGAAAAGAGGTGGAAAGCTGCAGACAGAAAGGGATGCCCTTTCTTTAAAATAAGGGCTGCATACTTATCAATGTCTTATCAAATAATCCCTCTGTTATTTTGCAGTTCTCCGCGATAACAACTTTTTCCTTATGGCATAAGGCTTCACTATTTCGTCTAAAAATCTGAGGTAAACTCGTCACAAATGTCCTCTCAGTTGGTATTTTATGAGTTGACTGATTGCATACTGCCTATCAATCAAGACTAAATGCTTGACTATGGTTGGCTTTTCCTCCTGCCAGATCTTGGATTTCTACGAGCCCTAAATGTATTCAACTTTGGTGAGGTACTAAGCTATATGGGTATCCTCTCATCAAACCACGTCATTGAGACAGTCGACGTCTTCTTCATCATGTTCGCCATGTGGATGGTTGGCAGTGGTCTTATTCACCTGGTAAGTGAAAACGACTTACTGAAGGAAGAAAGTCTGCACTACTTCTAATTTGTTAAACATAGCGGGTCCGGCGAAAGATAGCTTATCTTTGATGGATGAAGCAGTCTAGTCTATCCTCTCTAACAAAATCTTTAATTCAAACCGCCATGGATGGTGTGGAAAAAAAGGAATAAATAAAAAGCTTATCGATTGGTTGTCGGGAGAAAAACAAGGTGACACTTTTACCTAGTTGTTTATGCGTTCAGTAGACATTCACTTATGCAGCAATCAACAAAGCGCCCTTGTTTATATCTGTCCGTGTAGTTTCCCTGCATCATCACTTGGATTGCTTTTCTACCTCTTTTCGCTCAGATCATTCATCTTGGCGATTTCTGGGAGGAGGATCACAAAGCCTTACAATGGAATTACCTCGACTGTTGTTACTTCCTTCTAGTTACCATGTCTACGGTTGGATTTGGTGACTTCTATCCAGTTACGATGCTCGGAAGACTTTATATCTGCGTCTTCATTCCTGTTGCCATGGTGAGTTCTAGGATCAAGAGCATTATATGCTTAACTAAGGCGTAATATAAGTTCAAACGGTCTGCTATAAGAAAAACCGACAAAACTTAAAAAGATTTATATCGAAATTGTAGCATCTGCCCTTTTCAGACATCTTGTTTCGAGAAGTAAGTACTCCGACTCTGGTCTCCTTCACTTCTAATCCATCCTTTTCTTTTTCACCATCCTATCTATCCTTCTCTGCTTGCATGTGATCACTTAATGGGGAAATACTACAAAGATGATACAATATATTAGGATGGGAATGGGGAGGTGTCAGCATCTTCCTTCTTCTCCCCCCATCTTCCCTCCCTTCCACCTTTCTGGAAAAACAAATCTCCCCACAACCAAGTAAGGCATTGGTATGAGATATGACTAGTAGGAATAGAGCATTCTTCGGACTGATTCAACATTCTGGACTGTTTTGAGAATAATGTTGCCCTCAGTTCATGTTGCATAAACAAAATCGCGACCTTAATAGGTTGTCCTTTATCAAGTGAACAGTTTGTGGTGAATCTTTGCGCCTACAGTCAACTACACACTCAACCTTGTGCCTCAGAAGCCGATGCCTTAGAAATGTGGATCAATGGATGAATGACCAGCGATGTGTTCTTTTGCTTAAATAACGCTTCTCATCAAAGACCAATCTTTAAACAGGTCTGTAAGCAATCCAAAGTGGACGGCCTACAGCAAAGACGATGGATTTTGAATACCAATGCCACTTGTTTATATAGGACAAGGGCAGTGGTAATCAGACCATGTAGGCATGAACAAATTGCCTTATCACCCTCTTTAAGCATGACTGAAGGTTGATCTTGACCCACTTAATCTCGAAGCAGCGTGTCAAAAGGAGTGTCACCTTGATCGTGTTGCATCTTCCACAATTTTTGGGGAGTGTGTAGTTCTGCCACCCTAGTTTCTCCAAGTCATGGAGACAGGTTTAAATCAAATGCATTTTGTTTAGTCGGCATTTTATAGTTTGTTGATCCAGGATTAGAAAAAATGGACCGACAATGACGCATGTCACTGCTCAATAATGCGTATAGACAAGACAGTCTTTACGTCAGTCCACTGTAGGAAGTGGTACCAACAAATACATGAGCTACCTTGGTCACCTAATTCTTTAAACACTTGCGTATAAATCATGCAATTTATATAACCTAAAAATATTTAACCCTCAACCTACCCCCTTCTTCTCCACTCTCAATGCCAAAATCTTCTTGTCACTTAAACACAACCCTTGAAAAGTGACCCGCGATAATTTTTGTACAAAAGCGACTATTTTTTTTCATCTCTGCTAGGGTATCTTTGCCGTCTTTGTGCCGGAAATCTTTCGCAAAGTTTCGGCACGAGGTGCTCCCTCCGATTCGTACCAGGCTCTTGCTGGACATCAGTGCGTTTTGACGACTCTATGCATCTTTGCTACTTTTTTCATCCAATTTTGTATTTTCAAAAATATTTTACACTTTTTTTGTAAAAATTAAAGAAAGGATTTTATAAGTATAACTACCACTGCAAGTGTGATTTGTCGCTGAAGATGGTTTAAGTCACGCCTATTCCTTGAACATGTTGGTTTATGATTTGTGGATCGGCTGACAGGTTGGTCGTCCCTGAAGAAGTGATACCATGTGAAAGTCTTGGTAAATGTCTACTGTAAATGTCCAGAAATTTGATAGATGCATATAAACATCATACCATACTGCCGCTTCAACTCAGATATACATCGCACCTTATTATCTTCTGTATAGATAATCTCTTTTAAAGATCGTCCCTACGAAGGAAATTAGGGTAGTCCAATGGTTTTTGATAAAAATAGGAACCAACCCGGCCCTAATATCAGTGAGACATCTCGTCAATGTTAGTGTGCTCCCTTAGTGGATTTTACTACCAGAGAGCTTCCGTGATTTGTTAATTTTGGTTCATCCCGATCCCTCTCAACACGAAGGAAAGGATTTAGCCACCTCTCTTTAATTTGAAAAGATGCTCTTAAGTCTTTGAAGTGGTCCTAGCTTTGGCCCATCGCTGTTCACTGAAGAGATGGACATGACTTCGCTGGTCCTTCTCTTCCCAATTATCACAGATTCACACATAAACAGACCACCATTTCTATTATATTTAAATGTGATTTACACCAAAAATGATGCTCTTCTGGATTAAGCTCGATTGCTCCTGCCATCAAGGCGTTGTCAAAAGTCTTCGCAAAGATGTTACAGGATTGGTGGTGGGCAATAAATTCCCCGAAGGGCTAGTCACGATTATTGGAAATGCTTGATTTTCTCAACCTTGCCAGTGTATGTATTGAAAAGCGGCAAGTGTCATCATTGGCACTTTAAGCTTCATCTGTAATTGGTGCGCCTGGTCAAAACGGAGGGCCACCCCCCTCGGCCGTTATAAATGAATAAACCGACGCAGTAATGAAATTAACTTTCCCGTAAAAATTCGTGGAAAGAGGCAGGAAGGAAGATACCGACACCTCCTTACGCCAATCCTCATACTTTGTAGCTCTTTTGTGGCATTTCGCCATAACGCTGTCATTCTCCTTCCTTGGAATGATCACATGCAAGCAGAGTAAAACGGAAAAATTGTGTGGGTGATGGAGAAAGTAGTGGATGAGAAGTAGAGGTGGCCAGAGTCTAATTGTTCAATTCTAGAGACAAAAGTGTTTGAAAAGGTTATTAGTCGTAAAGATTATTAATAACAATCCTTACTTGGAATTAAGTATTGTTTGCTAAATTATTGATACCGTACAAGACGAATTTGCATCTGACCTTTTAGACACGTGGTGGTGTGTGGCCACTTCAACAACATCAGCCTCAGCGCAGTTCTTCGCGGATTCTTCCATATCGAACACGCGTCCCGTCATAGTCTCGTCAATATGGTGATTCTTCGTGTGTAAGTTTCTCCCATTAAATCTCTCAATTTACTGGTAGAGTGCTGTTACCCTTCGTCTCGTGGGGTTTGCATATGTCTATGGTTACTCTGACTTTAAGTAATTCTACGGACTTATTAGAATTTTCAATGGATAACTTGGCGAACTCCCTTGAAAGCTAATTTAAATCGCAGCTACTTGTCTGAATCCAACACCTGCTTGGATCCATTGAAGAAGGTTAAATAAAAAGGTGTAGAGACAGTGGTATTTCAAAAGTTGATTGGTTACTTAAGAAGTTTCTTGGTTATGTGATGTGAATGCCTTTAAATGTAGGTGAGAGCGCCAAAAATTTTATCCCTTTTCATTTATCGAATAATTTTCCTCAACTTTAAAACCTAGATACAGTTAAGGACTATTTTATCCACTCTATTCATCTTTCGTAAATCATCAGACACTCGTCTTTACCTCTATCACTTTCCTAACCAAGCATCAAGTACCCAAAGGTCTTGTGAACTTTCCACATATTGTCCATGTGAATATAAATTAATTCCAGCATAACTGGGGTTCATCATCGAGATGTGAAGACCTCTTTTAAATAAAGTGTGAGTTCTGGGTTGGTCCCATTATTGAGAATTTATAGTGCTCAAATCCTTTACGGCCTTATTTAGCATATTAGCACGCTTTGAGGGGCACCTTGTGAATACTTATCAATTAGGGGAGAGGAGGAGCTCAGTGACGGCTAGCTAATAAGTTTTCTCAAACGTTGGGGAAGAAGGAAAAGGACAAAAAATTTGGAACTAGGAAACAGCAACGCAGGCTTCAATATATTAGTACGATCGTTTTAGACCTTTTCTATTTGGACCCTGTTTTTGCCCTCTTTATATTCACACAGATCCCCTATAGACCTAGCAATGCGCGCCATTCTGACAAAATACAACGCCTGGGTGAAGTACTACCAGGGTACACCAGCAGATCCGCAGGACCTGGCTCGCATTTGCTTCCGCAGTTCCCAGGGTGCGTTAGTCCTTGCCAAGCCAAACTCGAACAGAAGTGTAGACGAAGATGGTGGTAACATCATGCAGGCTATCTCGCTGAAGGCACACAGCGAACGTATTCGTGTCCTCGTGCAGTTGCACCACTTCAAAAATAAGGTTAGTCAGTGCGCCTATGACTGCAGCGCCTTGAATCACTCCTGAAGAATGATTTCTTATTGGGTTCCACCCACCTGGATATAGTCGGTACATCTTAATCGGGTTGATTTTCTGTCAGAGCAGAAAAGAAGTTTGGACCCACTACCGGCAGTGCAATTTGTAGATTTCGATGGATTTTCATAGCTTTCGCTCTCCTTGTGAACTACACCCTGGCGATTCATTAAGTTTGTAGTGCTGTTCTGAGGCGGGCAATTCTTCAAAATAAACAGCTATATGCGAATTTTTATTCATTTGATGAGGCACGCTTCGGAGGATCTTCGTCAAGCCTATTTTAAGCATCCGTTCCTTCTTATCACTTCTCATATGCCGATTTTATCATTTACCTGCTAGAAACCCAATGAGCATATCGCGATTTGTCACCAGAATCGCGTATCTTAAAATAGGCACCCTAATGGTTGTGTGAGAAGCAAAATCTTGCCTTCTTGTAGAAAGCTAGATTAGAGCGAATCCCAATAGACTTTGAAGAGCCATCGGTATGGTTTTTAGTGTACTAAGCCGACTACAGCATTTCTCTTCTCTCATGACATTTGAATGTAGTACTTAGCACTGATTTGATGGTTTCTGTTCATTTGAATCGGACGTGTTTTCCACTACCAACAATGTGTTCCCTTATGCCATTTCTGAGGCTAGCATGGAAGACGAGTTTTCAGTGATGTGCAGGTGGGCCAAGAAAAATTTGCGTTCCAATAAAATAATCGTAAACGTCGCTTAGGCCAAGGAATTCACACAATTAAATACTCCTGTAAAAAGGGAAATCTTACTTAGTTACGGTAAACAAGAGGTAGATGAAACAACGGAAGTTTCTGGTGTTGCTAGTTTAAATGGCTGGATGTAATCTATATGGAGTTGTCGAATGCCTTCTGCATTTAAAGGCATCGGTTTTATCATCAACTTTCCTTGTTGCCCTCTCTTTCTCGTTTAATTGGATCTAGAATATTAGCTAGGGTTGCGATACAAAAAATGTGTGTCGGCCAGAAATGATGTAAATCAACAACCTGTTTTTGACGATGGACAAGGTATCATAGACGCAACAGTGTGAGATTGACTTTCTTTTTCTGATGACAGAGTAGTAGGTGTCGCAAATGTCACGTTGGTTAAACAGCTTTTGGCCACGTCTAACAGGCTTGATAAAACAGGAAAAGAAAAAGTTATCGAGGGATGACAGCAGCATTCAAAGTACGTCGCCTTCGCTGTGGGTCAAATCAAAGGATCATCCATTGTGGATTGTATGCAGACCTGTTGAATGAAAGACTTTTGATGGGGAAAATTCGTTAGGTGAGCAAACATTTCATTGGTCCTTCCTACAGTGGTCCACATTTATGAAACATCCACTAATAAGGCGCCAGTCTGAGTGTGTGGTGGACCGTGGATGACGCAATCATTCACCAGGAATCGCTCACCTATTGGAGGCCAATCTCTCAGGAACAAAGTTTACTTAAGCAACACGGTCCGACTCAAAGTTATACAAGAGTAATTTCTTCCTGAGAAACAGTTCAGACTGTTGAATCAGTCGGAAAGTGTCCTATTCGTCCGAATTATCGCGAGGACTTATCCCACCTCACAGAGTAATTACGGGGAGATTTACATTTTAGAGTATAAGAAAGAGAGGGAGAGAAGAGAATAAAAAGATGTACTACCTTATTTTTGTCTTTCATACCCCCTAGGATGATATTTTACCTCTTTCTGTGATTAAAGGATCAAATGTGAGTGGGAAATAAACGTGAGGTAGAAATGGATTCAAAAATGCGCAATAAAATTTTGCCTTTTTTCTCTAATCTGATTTTTCTAGACAAAATAAAACAATTTATAATGCTTTGTATATGCGTTTAACCTTCCACAAAAACTTTTCGACTCGCCTTAAACTTGAAGACGACGTCAGAAGGGAAAAACAAAGCCACCGAATTAAATTTACATCGGTGAAAACTTCCTTCTCGATTAAACAAAAATGGAGAGAAAAATCTCATGGTACCTTAAAAAGATGTTTACCATACCGTTCTTGATATTGACAAAGCTTTGATATTTGGGGGAGGCGGGTTGGAAACTATGCATTGAACTGTTTGCCTATAACCCCTCCAAACGCCTTAAGTGTCCACTGCCTTGAGGTCAAAGCTGTGGCATTTGACTAGCAGATGTGGAAGAAGGCGGCTATTAGGAAAGAAGCATTTCCCATTATTCTGTTTGAAGGAAGTATGAATAACTGTTGGATGGCATAGTGATGCAGCAGAATCCAAAGCGTCAAGCTTTAAATATCCTCCAAAGCAAGAATGACTCTATAAAGTCCGTAAAAGGCTGGTGAAACGGAAAAAAAAGTGCTTTTAATTTGTCACCATGACACCCTTAACCAGTAAAAAGGAACGAGCCTTAAGTTTGTTTTATGGACATGTTTGATGGCACTATAACTAGTTATTCAAGAATTTTCCACCGTGGAGAGGCAGAAGTTCTCGAGACATTTTCTCAAGTAAGTTACTTCTACCCTAGAAACCCTAATGTCTGGATTTGTGTTGCTGTATCCATCCTACGACCACACATTTGTTTACCCGGGGTTCTGTTGATGACACTCCGGCTTCAAAAGATAAACAATTGATAATATTTATTCGCGAGTGATTAGCGAAAATAATTCTAGGATAGACTGGAGGGTCTTTTCCAGTTTTTAGTTATAGTGGATCCAGCAAAAGCTGGGAATCAAGCTTAGAACCACTAAAGAGGCCTCGTAATACGGCCAGAATGACAGATATTTTTGTCCCACGGGTGTGAAATAAAAGTTTTGCAAAGTGCAGATTGTCTGGAATACCAACAAATGCCCCCTGATACTTTCTATTTAAGCAGTTCTTCCTGTTGACTCTAGTGCCTCCTCTACAATTTTCCCCGATGGACGTGTCGTACCAAAGACATGGTGATCTGTATGGACGAGCTGAAGTTGGGTTTAATGTCGCTAAATTGTATTGCACCTGGATTCTCCACAATCATCCTCAATCTTCTTAATGGCCATCGTATCAAAAATGTTGGGAAACAGGTCAGGATGCAAAAAAGCGAAAAATTAGTTTTATTTACTTTATATGAGTTAAATACCGGTTTAGAATTTGATCGGTTCACGTATCACCAAGTTGCTTTCATTGATTTCTTGGGAGTGACCTTGACCTTACCTGTATATTAATTTTTTATTCTTTTAAAAGAGGAATAATATTTAAAATGATTTCTTTTGAAAAACCTTTTTCAGACACAAAAGGAAAAGTGGCGTCGTGAATATGAGTACGGCGTTTCCATGGAGATCTATGATGTCAGTTTGAGCTATGAATTCCACAATCTCTGCGTTCAGGAGTTGACACTGTGAGTGTCTATTGCTGACAAAAAGATAGATTATCAATCATAAACCCTAATAAACTCAGGTGGCGCTCCGAGTCTCTCTCGAGAGGGTGCTAAGTTATAACTGGTAGGGAGGAAGATATATTGTCAATAATGTGCAATAGATGCAAGACCATAGACAGTTTTGAGGTCCATGTCGAACAGCGGAAGTGCGAATCGGGGGGACTGAGGAGCCTGTATAATTAAACAAACAGCTAAACGAGGCGTCAGGTGTGAGTAATAGGCCACTTTTCAGCGTGGAAAAACCATAGTTACTAACAGAAGAGGTCCAATTTGTGCGCCGGCATTTTAAATGGACCTATTACAGGTCAATTTACAGGTGGGTCTAAATAAAACGCTAAGCAGGGAAATTGATGGAAGGAATTAACTTACACTCGCATGAACATGTTTAAAAAGTCAATTTTTTATTTTCAAATGCACTCATCGGGGATAAAACAAGATTTGCCTACGAAAAATGGAACATTGTTATCTGCGCCCTCTGTCGTACGGAACCGGACAAACCGAGTGTCATTATCAATCCAGCCGGTTATAAAGACCTCAAAGTTAACACTTTGACAACAAAAGCCATTGTTATCGCAACAAATTCTACTGTGGTTAGTCGGTAGGTTCCCTCTCTTCTGCCTTTTGACCTGTTGATAGGTTTTGGTTGAAGGGGGCTCTTTTTTAATCAGTTTCCTGTGTTACGCCGCAGAATGCGCAATTATTGCACCAAATGCCGAGGCCACGAAACTGACCGTCTATGCCAGTGTCCTACACGACTTCAGTTCTACATTCAAGCGGCGGGTCTGAAGAAAGGTAATCCTGAACTACGCAGAATTTACGTTTTACCTATTAAGCACTTTGTAGTTCCTTGGTATAGGAATAAATTTCGGGGAAAGACTCTGAATTTCAAGTGCTCATGCACTACTCCACCTTTTGGTAGACGTACTTGACTGATGTTTCAAGCGCAAAATTTTAAATTCTTTACTCATTAGTGAATCGGCAAATTTAGTTCTTACTGTGCTATCAGGAAAATTTAACATCTGAGCCCATTTTACATGACAGGCGTAAGAAACTTTTGAAAACACTCGGTTCACTTCATACAACTTGAACCCCGTTTAAGCCAACGCCTTTTTTTCTCCAAATATAAATTTTACAATTAGAAGGCCTTGGCCTCCTCTACAGCAGAGGGGTTCCATTCACACCTGAGCTTTGGAGTTCTGGGAGCAAGAGACCCTCTCCTCTGGCGAATGTATATTTTTATAAGGCATGGCAACGCGATCTAGAAAACCCCGGTCCTTTAGTAAAATACGCCTTCAACTCAACGCAGCATTCTACTCATTTCTGTTGCTTAGAAGTAAAATCTATCTTGAAACGATCGCCCTATGATTGTTGACTTCTTGAATCAGTCAACGCCTGTGCCATATTCATAGTTTGCACGGAATATTTCCTCACTCCTCTGACGATTATCCAGGAATAGGAAGGCATTCTCCTCCCTGGAGTTCCACAGGAATGACTTTAGATAGTTGGGATTTACTGCGGTAGGAGTGAGGAGGTGCGACTGCTTTTTAATTTTATGCGCTGTCCAGATGAGTGTTCCAATATCCTACTGGATCGAGAATCCTCCGTACAGATACGTGCATCTATGGATGTTACACCACTGCTTTCCACTTACTGCTCCACGCAATCACTCCAACTATTGCGCCAGCTCTCGGCATCAGTGATAGTCCTCACTGTCAGCTGTCACTGCGAGAACCGCCACATAGTATCCTTTCTTATGTCCTTCAAACTACAGGTCTCGGTTGGGTCTAAACTCCTCTGTAACAAGACGTTAGTTAGAAATACAAAAGGTACTATTTGTCAAATCGAATGCTAGTTATGAATAGTGTCAACGTGATTTACTGAGTGACGATTAAGTTCTACGTCTGGCTAAAATGCACCACATGGTCCACAAAAAAGGGATATTAACAAGGTTTTGCAATGACTTTTCATTTCTTTTCACAAATTAAATTTCCATCTTTTTTTTTTAAGAAAGAGAACGCGCCATCAGCGATGACGAATCGGAATTTCAGGTTCCTGAGTATGGGTGAGTTGGAGGTAATTTATATCTTTTCTAGTTTACCTTTTATGCATAATCTGTCAGCCTAATGCTAAATTTTATAAAAATTAAGGCGAAGAAGCGACGAATTTGTAGGATATTTGCTAAAGTTGAAGTTCAGAGTGCAGAGAAATGCTAGTTTCGTTAGTAAAATATGGTGCTAACGCCACACCCAAATTTAATAAACCCGCCAAAACAGTAGAAATTAATTTGCCCACCCTCTGCCTAATTGATGTTGTAAAGCGAAAGTTGGTCTAAAAATAAATCAAGTGATCTTCGATTTGAATATCTTTCCGTCCCTTTAATCACAATGTGTATAGAGTTTTGTTTGATCGGGGGAATGATCAAATATCCTCCACACTGCAGAGAAGTCCTTTCCGATCCTCTCCTAATCGAAACTGAGGACACAGCTCAAGGTCAAGTTTCGCGTTCAGCCAGTGGGGACCTCAGCCCATCCGAATGCGATTTACTGCCAGAGCAGGCTACAGTAGCGGCTGGAAAGTTAAAACATTCAAAAGTAGAGGGGTTTTCCCGCTTCACGATTGGTCCGATTCCGACATCAGCAAGTCCAAGAAGTGGGGTGCTTACTCAAGGATGCTCTCGGCAGCAGTCATTGCTGCTAAACCTTGCAGACTACATTCCACTGCCGCATAAACCCTATGTGCCAAAATACGTGGATTCGACGGGATGTTTCCATTGGATACCAGATATGCCAATTGAAAGAATCAAGTTGGTAAGCTTGTAGAGGTTTTGAAAGTCATCCATGATGTAAGGTTGAATCGAGTCTTTCAAGCCTAGCCTAACGTCCTCAGTGGTCACTATAGGAAATCGGAAATTTAATCGTTTCGATAATTCTTTCGTAGCGTCCCTTTGTCTATTTAGTCATCCAGTAGAAAAATTTTCCTTCTACCGTGAGCAGTTGTGTCACTCGGACACCAGAATCTGAACTGCTGTATAGTTGGACTGAATTCACTTAATGTTGCCACAAATTTAGCAACCTATTGCATTTGGGAGGTGTTAAAGTACAGGGGAGTCTGGATGCAGAACATCTGTGGCACGAAGATGGCGACTAGACTCACACCAATTGCAGAATTTTATCTGGCCACACCGTTTTAGATTAATTTTTGCTCATTATCCATTTCGGATCACTCGCAAATATTAAATTCCTTCCATTACAACAAAATTTCAGACACCAGCCGAGGCAATAAAATACCAATTTAGAGACCACTATCTCCTCTGCATGGTTGAACCTTTGGCAGACCAGTCGTTGAACCTAAGGAGTTTTGTCTTCCCTCTGCGTTTTCACTGGATGGAGGTGCGGGATATTGTCATATTGGGTAACACCTCAGCCATCAAGGCGGAGGAATGGACAAGCATCAAGAACATTCCCAATGTCTTTCTTGTCCAAGTATGTGACTGGTTCATTTACTCACCAATCAATCTTTGAACTTTTCCTTCCCACCATCAACTTTGCCTTTTCTTCTACTCAAATTTTAGGGTAATCCCTGCAGCTTGAACGATCTAAATGCAGTTCGATTGAAGCACTGCACAGCTTGCACAATCCTCGGTGAAGCTATCAGAGAAAGTGAAGAGGATCACTGTCTAAGAGACAAGAATACACTCTTCTGTGCTATGACAATTCGATCGCTGATTGAACAGTCGCCTAGATACATTCACATGGCAACCGAGCTTCGTAGGTTCTGGAGTATCTCTAAACAATCTTCTCATCAATTGAATTATCAGTTGATTGACTGACTGACTGATTGGTTGAGTTGTCAACTGATCGATTGATTGATGTACTTCTGTTTTTCATGTCCAGACTATGAACAGAACGCACATCACTTCAGTTCAGCAGAGTCGCACAAACTCGATTTCAAATTGCCAATACGATTTCAAGAGGCCTTTGCCAGAGGAATTATCTTTAGCAATACCCTTCTTTATAGTTCTATCAGTTCAGTAAGTTTTGAGAGGTTTAAAGATGCCAAATATTGGGTGGCTAAAAAGCTAATGCGGTTCTTTATCCTGTTTGAGGAAACAGTTTCGAACGTGTAGGGACTCCTGAAATACTAGCTTGCATCAGTAAATTATTTGACCTCTTTATTTTGCCTCTACTATTTTCCATTTTGGAGTCTCATAGTTTAAAATATCCTCTAAACTTGATGGCTTTTGAGCCCGCCCAAAGTTGAGTAATCGCCTCGTATGACTTTTGGAGAAGGTTTGGTCGTTTGATTCTTGCGAAAGACTACCCGAATGTGGATGCAACACGCTTTGGTGAGCCCTAATACTTTATGAAAAGTTATGTACCAGCATTGACGCGTCAACCGGTGAAGTCATGATGGAAGCTTAGCAGAGTGATGCCAAATCCCTCAAGAGACGGTAGTTGATTTCAAATGTCACAAATTTGCTCTTCACTCCTTCAATCGTTCCAGAGGGGACTATGCATACTGGATTGTTTGCTGATTTACTAAGGGTAGGACAGAGCTTTCTGTTCCAACATTTATCAGGCGGGCCAACTTAGCACTGGTCATTCCTAACCAATCCCTTTAGAAGATTATGCTTTCTTTGCGTGTGCATGTGTATGTGGAGGAATGCCGGTTCAGTTTTTACTCGCTCAAAGTCAAGTATTTACGGCCGTCATCTGTCTACACGATACAGGTCAGGTACGACTGGAGAGCATGCAAAGGAGACTGCTCTTTAAGAAATTGTCGTGACTGGTGGATAAAATCGGAAGAGGCTACCATTCCAGCAAGATATCACAAGACCTCATACCTTACATCACTGCATGATTTATGCGAGAGAAGAGGAGCGATACTGCCTCATCCTCACCTCCCTTATACACTTAAAAAAATCCTTCAAAATCACCATTTGCGACCTTTGTCGACATTTAGCAGTCACATACTCACATGCAAAAAGGAAGTTTAGAAACAGCCCTGAGTTAAGGACAAAAGTGATTAGGACTGGATCATTCGAAAACGACAGAACCTGATAAGAGGCGAGTTCTCAGAAGGCTTGCGCTTCATTACGCAAAAGACTTCATATTTTTTAACAAAGGAAGTACTTAAATGAATTTCTTGCGGCTATTTAATCTGCAAATCACCAAAAAGCACAGCCGAAACGCGAATGACATCATCAATGCTACACGTCGCGTTAAAAAACATTGAAATATCGAACCATGCGGGAAATTACTTTAATAATTGTGTGTGATTATTATGGAAGATGGCTGGTTTCGGTGGTTCCGACGCAAAATAGGTCCCATTGACATAGCCTCTTTGGTTCATGAATGACTTATTGCGCATTATTTTTAGAAACAGAGCTAATCCTTAATCACTAACACGTTGTTTCCGTTGCCTAGTTGTATTTCAGTGGGTCGGTCTTTCAGTTCCTACGAGTCCTACTCTTTGGCATAGCTGTTGAGGAATTGGAATCAGCCAGCCTACTTCGAAATGGTATGTTGTGGTTTTTTTTTGAGCACCCACCCCCTAATTCAAATACAATTTTTCTCTATAGGACTACAACGTGGGCAAAGGAATGCCTCCCAGAAGGCAACTGGCGTTCGAGTGGCTTTACTCAATATGTGTGAGATTCCCTTTGGAACACTTTTCACCCGTCCTGGCAAGGTAGTGTCTCGGCTACTCCCGATGGTGACTTAAAGCACGCTAGTTTAGAGGGCAGCTTTATAACCAAGGTATAGAAAAACTGAGACAGAGGATGGTGGTGAGAATGTTCCCTATTTTATTCATGATAGTATGCATTGCATCCGAATCCATATCTAAGGAAATATTTTTGCCATATGATTATCTAGTCTTGACAAAGTTCTACAATAAACATTTTTTATGGGAGAAATTAATTTTCCTCTCCGACCGTAAGGCACACCTCAAAACCGGGGCAGTAAAAATCGACAGTGATTCGGTAGGCCTTCTGCTGTAAACCACCCTGGGGTGGATGCACCAGGGCTGTCACTAATATAATGATCGAGTTACTCGTGGAGATAAGAAATTTCGAGTGGCTTGCAACACAAATGCAATGGGAAAAGCCCCATAGGTGATTTAACAATAGGCTCTTTTTACGTCTTTAGCGGGTTCTTCGTTACAAAGACGTATTTATACATGCCCTGATGTGTTGGAGAATCCTCTGCCTTGGAATTTACCGTCTAGATCGTCGAGGTTTTCGTGTGGTTATCACAAACCCACCTAAAGTCCTTAAAATGTGCACTGATGATCAAGTAGGTCTTGAAATTACGGATTGAGTGGTTTTTCAACCAATGAAATTACGGTGACAAGTTTCTCTTCCATATTTGTAGGTCTTCTGTTTCATTCCAAGTGAATCCACTGTTCTTCAGGAGGATGCAGGCAGTGTAGTTTCGACACCAACCATGGACTCAAGTCTCTTCTTTTCAAGAACTCCTGGCGCCACCTATGCAGGCATGTCGGCAATTGAATTGGCCCGTCAGAGCGCAAATGTGCTGCGTAAACTTCAGCCACGTTATTGCTAGGCTGGATGCTGATAACAAGGATAAAGAAAATGACTTACTACTAATCCTTTTTGTCCATTATCATTTAAGAACTGAGTTCAAATACATCCATCGAAACAGTTGCATTGGACCTAACCGATTAGTCGGCAGGGTTTTTTTTAACAAATAAGAAGTTGGGTACAAATGTTACAGTGTATTCGCGATATCTAGCAATCAATGGCAGAAAACTACACTAAGGCAACGAATGGGGTAGATGATAGCAGAAGTTGAGACGGCGCTTTTGCTTAGTTCTTGAAGTCAATATTTTGCACAGAATTTGAATGAAGGTGGAAGAGGGCGAAATGGTGACAAAAGAAATGCAGTATTCCAGTCCCATTCTTAGTGTGAAATGACAGGAACAAAGAAGGTAACATGCATCTGCTAGTCAAGGTTAAGTATTTGCATTTTAAGAACCATATTTCCAGTTAAAGTAATGGACCGTATGAGTATTCGCAACAGCTTTGCATTTTGCCAAAGTGTGAAGAAAATTGAAGAAAAACTCTATTAGCCAAACGGCAATTTTTAATGCTCTATTCAAGCCCGTTTTATATCCTGGATGCATTTTTCTATTTACTGGATTTGTTTTATTTCATTCCTTCGTTGTTCTTGCTAGGTTTATGCGACTAATTAACTCTCAAATACCGAGTCTTCATTGGTCAGCTATACCCAATCAACGTGGCCTCGCCACGTATACTTCCTCTTCATAGGCCTGCCTCCATTTTGCCGTGCGTGTAGTCCTGTGGGTGAACATGGAGTCCAACAGCATGATTGATATGAGTTTGGGTAGTTTTCGTTCATTATTTTAATAAAATAGTACTGCTTTTTGTGGGCACTTGTGCGTGTTTGTGTAGCCTGTACATCTTTTTTGGGTTTTTGTGCATTTCTGGCCTTTTTTCACCTGATTGCCATACGGGTTTCCCTTTAGATGAAATAATTAAGCTTAATAGAAGAGCCAAGAAGGCAAGTGGGTCAAAGCCATCCGTTAAGGCTCGTTCATTGGCCGTGAAGAGGGCGGGTTTGATTCGGTCCTCTCTCGTGAAGCCCATGAAATCGCGTCGGGTTACCGCGGCTCGAGCGATTTTCCAGCGCGCTAGACGAACCGCTGCCATCGCGGCAAGGGTAGCAGCAGACGCAGCTGCACTGGTCTCGCCTGCTAATACTGTTGCTCAAAGTAATCGTCGCATCGGTGGTAAGTAACTCATCGAGTGGTAGTGCCTCCAGTTCGGTTGATTTTCATGCTACTGTATGCGCTGCTGCTCTAATTCTCCTGTGCGTGTTTTTATGTCTTTCGCAGACAGAATGTGGTCAATGGAGCAGGAGGTTCGCTGGGGTTGATTGTTGGCTTGTTGTAGTTATATCGTGAGTTACTGGCTCCATTCTGGCCAGTACGCACGATCGTGTCTGCTGCTTTCTCGGTGGCGTCGTATCGCTTACAAGACCGAAGGACCGCCGCTGTTGTTGCTCAGTTTTGGCCGCCAAATTACATTAGCTGGGTTCTAAGGAGCACGTTTCATCAACAGGCATAGAAAAGGAGCGGTTAACGAAAGAGCTTGTGTGGATGATCGAAATGCCTTATATTGCTCCATTTATGTCTTGCGTCCAGGTGTTCATAAATTTACTTCACTCAACGTCTTGGAGCTATGCACGATCGTGGGTGTGGAGAATTGTCTTCTCGGTGAATCTCTGTCGCCATCATTCTGGCTTCCCTTCGGGTGAAAAAATATCAAGACATGCCAATGTACAACTTGAGGTCGCTTTGCATTCAACGATTCTGAATCATAACGAAGAGGAAACGCAATTGAACTATGTAATTCTTACCTCCAAACGGGACAGTCTGCGTCTACCGCAGCTGCTCGAGAACTGCATGTTTCCTCGATTCCAAAAAAGATTCAGCTCTCAAGCTGAGTATGCTTACGGGAGTAGATTTTTTTCGACTCCTACTGACGTCATGCTAGCTTTAGTTTGCTCCCATTAAAAAGGAATATTTAAATGGCCGGGAAAGATGCTAATGCTGCAAAATTTGTGACCAATCGTTGCTTGGATGGTTGAACTGCATTGCGGGATTCCGTGTGGTCGGCCCCCATCTACTTCTACAAGTTCATAAATTTGCTCTATTTAAAATGAGTTCAAGGCCTTGCAGCGGCGAATCACTTGTCCTCGTTGGTCTTTTTTCCGACCCCCAACAGTGTGATTAGGAGTAAACACCTGCCTCTTCTGCGCTCCGAGACACATATCTGCCGCTACTGGCTGTTCGTTCTGAACACTTGCAATTTTCTCGTAACCTCATGTGTGTTTACAGCCGCTGGTCCAGCTGCAGCAAGGAATAACCGTGCAATAAGCCGCAATTTGGCAGTTCGGCAAAGAATCATGGCAGTGAATCGTCAGATCTTCCAGCGTCAACGTCGCAGTCGTGGCGTTCCAGGCGCATTGAGCCGTCTGGGTGTCCGGCCCCAACGTCATGTGCAAAGACAGCAGAGGCTGCAGAGATCTGATACTATTCAACGTTTATCTCGTAACAACAATAGTAGTAACACATTTGGCATCGGCTCTCAACGTTCCTTCCGTCAGAATTCATCCCTCAACGTCATTGGTAGACAGCGCCGCGTCACCAGAGTTGATACTCAGCGTAAGTACTTGATTCATTGGCTGTTGGTGGCTGTCGTGGCCCTGTCGCTTATTCTCCTTTTCACTTTCTTTTCAGGTTTCGGCATTCGCCGTCGTGGCGGTGGACAAATTGTAGGAGCGCAGACGAACATGAGTGCAATGTCCTCGACACGCTACCAGCAGTACCTTCAGCAGGCGCGCGCCCTGATCCGTGCTCAGGCGGAGCGTGTTAACGCCACTGCCGGTGGCTTCAACACCCGTGACAACTATAATCGCTACAGTCGCACCAATTCGATGTATGTGGACGTGCCAGTGAGAAGTGGTGGCGGTGACTTCAATGGCAACCGTTTCGGTGGTCGGAACGGTATGCGTGGCCGTTTCAGAGGCTGAAAAGGAATGTGGGAAATCACGCGACCACGTTTGTAAAGTCTTTCATCGGACCTATCAATCCCGTCCACGTTTTAAGAAAGCACTCATTATTGCCTTGTCAGCATTGGCATTATCCACACCTCCATGTCCGTCTACTAGTACCTCTCGCTTGTGAATACGTCTCGGTTAATGCTTATTATGAAACTGTACCTGTTTTCCTGGTCTTTTGTCTACGTCTTTCTGGATAGTTGCTGGCAAGTCTTGACTGGTGTACAGCTCCTGGTTTCTTTCGGGTCCTCCTGCTAATGCAGGGCTCTTGGAGGCGTCGAGGGGATTTCGGGCTGTTAACATCTGCCTTGCGATCGGTTGCATGCAAGCCGTCGGCACACGGGTGCTGTTTCCTCGTGCGCCGTGTAGTACTTTTTTGCCAAGTTGAATTCTCTTTATCCTCCTATGTTGCTTGAACTCGATGGGTGAGGTTCGCGTTTGTCTTCATGAAGTTAAACTCGATTTTTTGTATTGCCCTTTGAAAAGCCCTCGAGGGAGGGACGGTAGCATAGGTACTGACTGGAATTGTTTTCCATTGGTTGGATTGCCATGATGAGTTACTTGAAGTAGTGTAATAATTAGGGTAAGCTTCCTCTCTCCATCGAAAAGGACTCGCCATCAATGTAGGCGCGGTAGCACCGAAGCAATGTGCCAATAACTTGCGCCAGCATTGACGGTCGTGATGATAGCCTCTGAACAACAGGCGTCACATGTATTAACGGGTGACCATAAAGTTCGGTTGCTGTCAACTGATTCTTCTTCGTACAAGGTCTAAATATGTGTAGCAAATTTTACGCTGTTTGCTGTCTTCGATAGAATGGAAAATAAATTTGATGATTTCATTTTAATGTCCATTCGGTGATCGACTGTACCGCTCGTCATCTACCGATCATCCACGCATTATAGACTCTGTACCCCCAAGGTATGCACCGCTGCATTACCACAAGATTGTGGAAGAAATAGTGTGTTTGATGAAGACGGGAGGATCAAGACTACGTGATACGGTACAACTATTCCTCATGAGGCGCATCCACGGTCAGTCGGCTAAGCGGGAGAATTCACTTTAGTATGGAAAGAAGGGGAACACTCTCCTGGATACAAATGATGCCATTGTTTTAAGTGTTTTTCACCTTTTCTTGGCAGTAGAGAATCAAATGCAAAGTGGAATAAAAAGCTTGGTGGAAAATTAAGGTGAGACAGGAGCGGAGGTCGCTGTATCCGGCACATTTACTCCTCGAGGCAAGATATCCGGATAACGGTGGGACTTATAGTAAGCTTGCGTCTCCTTGAAAAGGGCTTGAAGAATGTCCTAACTTCCCACTGATCGACATATGAACCATATTCGTTGTGATTCGGTGCCCTGTTTCTTATTAAAGCCGCACTTTTTAGGAGGCCATTTATAGAAACCACTATATTACTGACAAGTCGCTCAGTAGTGTCTTGCAGGGAATTCGTACCAACGTTCCTAAAGTAATTATCTAACTTAGAAGGCTAAAAATTAATAATTTTTTACGTACGATTCACTGCATCTTTTGATAAGCCAATTCTGGAATTTAGAGAGCTTATGTCTGACATTTGTGCCGAAGAGTAGGTATACGTAAGATCACAATGCCAAATTCGGTTGACCTTGATGGCCTTAGAGGTGACACTTAATGATCTGATCCTCTATTATGGTAAATAATCACCTTAGCTGGTTTCATAGAATTATACGCTGCTATACGTTATTTCAAACACGTTCTTTTTAAGGTCAAAGAGCAAAAACTGACGTATGGAGAGGTCAAACACAACACAACATGAACGCGTGCTGCCCTTTGTAATAAAAACTAAAGCCAGTTGCAAATCCCACCTTTATACGGCATTTAGACAGAGGAAGGACGTACTTTAGCATTGTCCACTTCCCCTTCTGTCGCCCTTTTGTTTCCCTGCTAAGAGTTGACCCTATTTCTCAAATGATTGTTTAATTCCAAGAGGGGCATCATCCGTGAGATAAAGAGGAGCAAGGGTAAGGCGATAAGGCTCTCACTGACAAGTCGTGTTAGGCCTTAATTTAGCATGCAAGGATGGGACTTTCTCAGAACCGATTGAGCAATGCTGAGTAGTTTTGTTATTCCGCTTTTTGGTTTTATCGTACCGATCCCAGCTGTAATCGGCTGCCCTTCGGCAAGAAATTTATGGTGAAAATTTGTGTCTGCAATGCACCACACACATGCAAAGCCTAGGCTTGTAGAGATGAGGCCCCACGTGCCCTGACAATCATTCTTTGTTTTAAGTAAGTCAGTCAGTGGACTGTCAATCTACGATGAAAAGTTCACTTTATTTGTAACGCACGTGAATGAACTGAGTAACAAGTTGGCATAGGCGTAAAAGCCCTAAAATTCTTTAGTCAAAGTGCCAATAGCAGCCTTTACTTTTTCATGGTAGAAAATGTTAACCATTTCTGAAAGTCGCACTTCGTAGAGTGACTCATGACAATTAAACGAACGTGGACCACTTCTAGGTTGCACACTTTCTGCCGCAACTTCTCCAGGTGCCATAGGAGGACTTTTTGCATTCGAAAGGAAAAAAACTTCGATCACGGCTATCAAGGAAGAGCAACTCTGAAAGATATGAGGGTTCGACTCGGCAAAAAAGTAGTACACAGGGCACAATAGGAAGCACCGCCCCGAAAGGCAGACCCATATCTCGAAATTGCGGTGTAGGGGTGCAGTTGCACACATTTTGCAAATTACTCTAGTTATTTTGCCACGCTATGCCGTAAATCCTATAAATTGTCAACGGTAAACTAACATGTGAAATAATGCCCAACTTTTCTAGTGCTTCTGGAGGCAAACTAAATTTCATTCCCCTTTTTAGAAGTTTTCTCACTTATCGCTAAATGCCAGTCGATTATGTCAAATCAGAAATTGAGGGAGAGCTATTAGTGATAAGTTGAAATTACTTATTACAGCGTCATAAATGCTGCACAATCGTTCATTGTAGAACCAAAAGTAAACCTTTCCTGAGGAAGGACAAACGAGAAAACACTTATTAAGACGCTGCAGATCAACTGCAAAATATTAAAAAAGTACAATTCAACAGTTGATATTTCCTCGAGTTTCTTTGCACTTTCGTAATATCATTGGCTAGTTCTATCCAATAAACTTTCTCCTACCTCTATTCCGACTCTCTCATTGTTTATTTACAAAGAATCATAAAAGTCTCCCCCATTGCTGTACATATGGACTCCTTTTATTAGGCATACATGACACGGTCGATCACATCTACTAATTCGATGCGTAGTATTTGCTTCCTTTTTCTTTTTTTCGCACATGCTACCTATGATAAACAGTCACGCTAGTCTCTATTTTCCAAATTTTAAAGGCAATTATGCAATGGCCTATAAATCAGTTTTCACCTTAAAAGCAGCGAAATCTGCCACCCACTCCAGATGGAATTATAGGAGTAAATGAATAAAAGCAAGAAAATAGATAGTAAGTGCCCATGAGTGTAAGGGATTGGAAAAAAATCCAAATTATCGTAGAAGGCATCATATTAGCATCGTCAACTTGACAGCGAGACAATCCTACTACGAGTTTTGCCTTAATTTAATTTTTTGACTTTAGAAGCAAACAGTCTAGCCTTGGCCATCTTCTTTCTCACCTCAAGCTTGTTTGCGGCTAGCCAGTCCATGCCACCCTCCACGTGATTGTGCGATTTTCTACCGCACAGGAAAGGTGACAATTAACATGCAAAGAAGTGTCATCGAGTGAATATGGAAGGGTAAGTCATTCTCCCAACCTGATGGGTCATTTTTTCACAAATAAGTTTTGAAGCAGTGATGAGGTCTTGAAACCCTTCATCCGATTGATTGACTAGCTTTAGCTTTTTTCTGCACATATTCAGATTGTTTCCTCAACCGCGTTACCTTCGTTACTGAGCATGGAGGCCATTCTTGTACATGATACATCTATTTAAGCGATTTTTTTACCAAAATCAAGGAAGTATAAACCACTTCTGCCCTGCTAGTTGCTCTCACCAACTACTAATATCATACGAAATGGATGAGGAAATTACCGACCTTTAACTCGTAACATAGACAGGTTCAATTGACACTCATCCTATTTAGCCAAAGTTTTATGATATTCCGAGAAATCATTGAGAGCATTGCGAATGGTGCTTTTAGCAGTGAACTGCCGCATATCTCCTACTTATAATGTTTAGTAGGCAATTGCATTCAGTCCGTGGGTACCTACGAGTTGTGCCAGTGTACACCGAAAATCTGGTTAACCTTCCAACAAATGCCTTGAAATCTGGCTTATTAATTTGTCCGATTATACAGGAATATAAAAATTATGCCATCAACGTCGCAATGACTCCATAATTTAAGTATTTATTTTTCTGACTGACGGAGGTGGCCTACAATAATGGTTTTGGCTATTTGGGGTGGTGAAATCTCAAATGACGTGAAAGCACGCGTCACTTCAAGCACGATTTATTAAAGGGTCAAAGTGCTAATAAAATGGCGTAAGGTCATTCAACAATTGCCACAACGATAAATGTGACCTTAAGTTGCTATTACCATGTCGTGTTTCTGAGGCCTTAAATAAATTTCCCGCCTAAAGAAAGAGGAAAAATACGCAAGTTTTGCGTAAAGATGCCATTACCCTTGATAGACAGGTAATGTGAGTGGCAAATAAGTCGGAAAGGACAGATATAATCAAAACTCTGATATTCAATCCGCTGAAAGACATTGACAGCCAATAGAGGAGTATTTGAATCTCTGACTATTAATGACAGATCACATGCGTCTATTTTTAATAAATAATCGCGGCCCTCCCGATTTTACGCTGAAATGGCAATAAGCAACGATTAGTTGGAAGAACATACTACTAATGTACAGAAGGACTTGAAGCCTATCAGCATAACCTGAAGGCCACTTCGTCAAGCGAATATGCAATCTGGGAAGACTGCAATGGATGCGTAGGTAAATACACAGTTCTACAAAGTGTAAAGCCTCTACAGAATAGCTGTATTTCGATTCCATTAGTGATAAATCACATTTTATTCCTATCATCTGATAAGCGAGGGATTTGATTGGTCATTATAGCCTTGAAAATGGTTAATCCGCCTAGACATTCATGCTAGCTAAAAAGATGCAAATAAAGGTTATTTTCTGTATCCTTTTTGCCTTCAGGGTTCCGTAAGTATAGGACATTTCTTGTTATCAAGGCAGCAGGTAGTCAGTAGATGGGTTGGCTCTCGTTGTGCCTCCTATTTGAGAATCAATGAGGAGAACCCATTTACAAAGGAACTTAACTTATCAAAAGCCATCGAAAATCAAAACTTGTTTAGTTTGTTTTTACACGCTGAGCACCTGTTGCGTAATCATTCCAAAAGTGGCAGGAAGTATTACCAAAATGGGGATTCATAAAGCCTATTCATGTTTCATCAGTTGCTTCTGATGGCAAGCTTCTAGACCTCATGATTTACAACAATTCTGATGATCTGTCGACTGCCGCTTCCTCTATCATCTTTTAATGCAACTCAGATTTTGCTATTTCAACTTGGAATCGCTTCAATCTAAGTCATTCGCATGAAGAAAGAGCTGATGAAAGTCCCGATATCCCTTCCTGGCGGTGTTTTATTTAACACATTCACTTTAGCGTACACCTACACCACTAAACAAATGCCATACCATAAATCAGGTTTTGCGTGAGCGTCAAACCAGCTTAATGCGTGTACGAAGACTTGAGTACAGCCGTCCTGATTTTCAGCATACGTAGGAAATCATAGGAGGGTACGGCTTGAGCGTACGCGCCTGATAGCTGGCTGGAGGAAAGAACCGGAAACCCAAGGTGATTTCCGTCTCGCATATTCGTAGCATAGGTTGACCTCGAACCCTGTATCAAATGCTAGTACACTTAAAGTACACTTTTGTGCGATATCAGTCAAGCATAAGAGACCAAGCGAGAACGTAAAGTTATAGATAGCTTGGGAATTAGCCACGAAAATAGTGATTTCTATTTTATTTTGTGGGCAAGTTTATACAGGGCTGCAGACATTTTTTGACAGAAATCGTCCCAATCAGTGTTTGTTAAACACCAGTTGGTTTTGTTGTAGTTCTAGTGCAAATGGTAGACTCTGCTTTCACTAGATTTTGACATTATTTTACTGGTAGTTTGACAACGCGCCATGGATCCGGTATTTCGGGTGTATCCATTAAAAATTTCTTGTTCGGATCACAATCAGGGAGGATCATTCTCAGTGAAGTCCTGGGTAATTTCTTTTTGGTGATTTCGCCCGATTAGCAACACCTCAAGAACCCACAATTCAACGGTCGATATTTTATCGATTATCGATTAAGTAGATCCAACCAATGTTTTCTAACTCCCGATATTTCCGAGTCTCAAATTACTTATTTTCCACTCTTTGAAACAAGTTTTGATTAAATATCATGCTTTAATGAAATTTCGAGACAATTTATTTATAGTTAGTGCCAAATGGGATTTAAAAGTGTCATTCTCAGTAAATAGTTTCATTTCCATTTCTGGTTGAATCGGTTGGCGTCTGTTTCCACAGGCCTACCATCCATTGCTGAATGCAGTCATGGCTAAGGTTTTGAAAACAAAATTACCATCCTCTATCTTAAAATTGATTCTAAAATAAAATTTTCAGAATGTGTTTGCGATTGCCACTCAACATTTGAAAGTAATTCGTGTTCATCACCTCAAGCAGAAAATCATTTGGATCATTAAGGAGAAGGGTTAGCCAGAGAAATGGGACGTAGGTGTCGTTACAGATTAAAAAAACGCAGAGTTCGCAGAAGGAGAACTTCATTGGTTCAACATCGACAGTGTGGTGGTACTGTTTCGAACAGTGAAGTGACTCGAAAACGAGAACAGCAGCATCAACGGGAAGGGCAACAGCAGGAACAGCGAGGAATGCAAGAACAGCAACAAGAAATATCAGTGTTACATGAATTCGAGGAGCTTGCACGGCAAGAAGTGAGCAGGGTATTTCAAATGCTTTACAACCATGCAGAACTCATCTTCGACTTAAGCAGGGCGAAATTCGCGAGCGAAATACGTAAGCATTTAAAACAAAATTCGATTGAATACATGTTCTAATTTTAAATTTCTATCTGCAATACCTAGGTGATAAAACAAATCAGTTTGTGGAATATGAAGAAGAGAGGTTTATTAGACATCGCTTCAGAATCGATAATCAGCTTCTTCAAGAAGCGATAAATCGAATGGACGTTAAAGAATCCGAATATGAATTAAGGTACTTCTTGAATATGTTCAAGAGCGATGACTTGGTTGCTATCGATCTACTATTTCGAGAACCGTCCACAGACCCAGAGACTGGAAATCCTGATAGAGAAGACAAGGATCCATATACCGAGGATACAGATCAAGATGCAGAGGATAAAGGTTCGGATGAAGAATGTAAAGAACAAGAAGAAGAGGACAAATACTCTGATGAAGAGGACAAAGAACCAGATGCAGAGGACAAAGGTTCGGATGAGGAGGACATGGACCCAGATGCCGAGGATTATAATCCAGCTACAGAGGATAAAGAGCCTTTCAGAATCCGCAATTAACCATCTAATGCGCGGATTTTGGTAGAAGCTTTGAAATTATTGGTATTTGTTTGGTATGTCCTCCTTTTGGAGTATTCTGTTGTATGCGCTTTTGCTTATCTTATCGTAATAAATGTTTTAATCCCATTTCTTTACTTCCTGGCGTATGCAACCCTCATTCATAACCTTGGAGCAGTAGAATCTCCCGCTTTCAAACAATGCATAGGTAGATTGATAATCTAACTTCATTTTACCTCCCCACCTACTCAAGGCATGTTAATTTCATAAGACATGGTAGTTTCTTGATAATTCGATGGAAAAGATGTAGAGTACGCTAATGAGTTGCTTCTTAGACAGAGCTTCTACTACGGCACCGAAATGAATTATGTGTTGAAGGGTAATGCTGCGGTAGGGTGATTAAGAAGGGTTGCTACCATGGTTCCACGAGATGAAGTATAAAATGGTGTATTCTATTTTACGGTAGTAGTCAACGCGAGTTTCTGGCATCGGTCCACTGCAGACTGCGTTGGTAGGGTCATCCCAAAGCTGTGCTAATATCTGTGTCTGTGTCCGTGTAGGACTGTGCATGTTTGCGCATTCGTGGATGCGGCATTTGGTGGTGAGGTGCGCCAGTGAGACACCCAGTAGCACCAAGACATTAGAATGGTGTAAACGCTTCAGTCACACTCGGCTCCACGGCGACCGTAGATTAGTGAGGAATGAAACTCCAACCAACTTCCTGGCGGCGATGATTTCATCTACCAACTCCGACTACTCAACCAGTATTACTTATCCTCATCCACCCGCACTTTCAATGCCTCACCTCTCTACCTGTATATCTAACACAATCAGATAGCTTAAGTAGTGCCTTTAACGTTAACCAAACCCACACCGAATTAACACTACATTACGAGAAGTCATACTTGAGAAAACTCTTATTATACACCTGTAGTCTCACCTTCCAGCGGCTGCATCCACTCTAGTTCAACCTGCATACCACTACTGGTATTAATTCCTTCAAACGCTCTTCTACTACTCCTCAGGCAGTGCTCAACCAGTCCATCCTTGTTTCTCTGCCCACTCACTTGCTCATTTTTTTCTTTTTTTTGTTTAGAAATAACTGCAAAACAGCAACGAATTCTCGGACTACACTAATTTATATCTAAAATACTTCGTCTTGCTCTGCTTTTTGAAGAAATTCTTATTCACCCTGAAGAAAATGAGCTGAAATTATCTGATTGGGTCAGATCAGACCGGATCAGTGTTGAGAATCAAACTCAATCATATAGATGAGACGTGGTCGTCGGAACAGGAGCAGGAATCGGCAGACAATCCATCCAATCGTCGTAGTGCAGACCAAAGCACTTAGAGATGATACCGACAACAACGGAAAGCAGTGAGCCAGGCAGATTTATTTGCAACAACATGGACATCAGTCTCAACGCCTCCTCCAGTAAGCCACCACCTCAGACTACAGGTAATCACGCACCACATGTGGTTCGGGCAGGGCTTCTACTTCACCAATTGTGCATTCAACTTTCCCCACGTTACCGTTTTTATTTCCCCCCTCCATCGCCATATGCAGTATGCAAAAGCAGGTCGTTAAAATCGTGTAGCAGTTGGGGGGTAACGCACACTGCATCAACAACAAATGCTTTGGCACAAAGTAGAGGCTGTATGTGTTGAAGTGATGGACGATAATTTAAACGAATCATTACACAGCGTCAGGAGCAAAATCCTCCACAGTGCCACCCTACGTGTGCTTTTCCACCAAACCAATCAAGTCTTCAAAGGACTGTTCTCGTTGGTCACATTCCATGTCATCACCAATGCCAATCAACTGCGTTCCTCCTACCATTCCTTAACTCCTCCCTATTTCACATCTGTCCACTTCCTCCCCTGCAAAAAAAGTTTCCTCCAAGTCTCCATCTACTGATTATTTGGTTGAGTGGGTGGTTCCGAAAGATCCCCAATGGTCGATGAAGCTGCATTCAGATATAACTATCGCCATCGAAGCTCCAACCACAGTGTGAGCATCAGCCGAAATGGATGCAACTTATGAGGTTACATTTTACGCAAATTCAAGCCAGATCACACCACCGTCCAGACAAGGGTGTCAAGGTTTTGACTCCGTCACACACAGTATCGTGCAAGTGAACTTAAATTTTCGACTCCGATTCTTGGCTTTAGGTTTGATTCCACATTCAACTCTAGATTCCACATGATCCCTATATGATCACTTTCTCTGAGCTGACTTCACTGGGAATAACGATGAACGGAAACTCGAAACACCCTCACAAAAGACGTACACACCCTTTATTCTGTCCAAGTCTCCAAAGGATCTGAGCTTTGACAAAATTGTATTATTACTGGCAGAACATTACCAAAGAGCATTATGGGCGAGCAGTCTTAGCTGTTTAATCTGCCTGTTTTCTGTCGTGGTTCCAATTAAACAAGAACGGTGAGGGAACGAACAACTTGCGGTCAGGTGGGTACCCGTGCATTCATCTCGCAATCTTACAAGGCAACAATAGGTCGTGACGGCAATTTTAGTTGAGCTAGTGGCGTTGATTAACCCATTTGTGAGTAATGCATGCAAGCAGACCAGACGGTTGGAGACTTGTCGGTAGAAAAGCAGTCCGTACAGATCGAACGTGTCCCACATGCTACGCCATATGACAATGATGATGTAGAAGGCCCAAATGCAAGTACGTATGCAGAGGCGTGTTGAGGTAGAGTTGATATTTAGGTATGGGATATTGGCTGGACCATAACCCCATTTCTGCCTTGTAGACACGTATAGGTCATCCAAAATGAGGAACACTTCCATTGGCAGAACCGTCCACCAGACCTGAAAACACGTGTAAATTGTATGCGCTCGTGCATGAGCTTGTCGTTAGGGCTTTTATCTAGCATGCATCAGGTCCGTGTTGGCGATGAAGAATGAAGTTAGGCATATCTTGGTGCTGAAGCTTTGTAAGTGGGTATTACAATATTCAGTAAGAAAATATGTGCTGCTACGTGAATTAAACGGCGAAATACCGGTGAATGTATGAACTGCAGCCCCATACTCAAGAGAACACCGGCTTAGGCATAAACTTAAATCCCACGTCTAGATATTAGAGTCTTAGTGAAAGCCTTTATAAATGCGATTAATGTGTAGTTTCATCTTCCCACCTGACAGCTTGGTCAATATGTACAGTCTCGAAAACCCCAGAATGACAAATCTGCTGGTTAGAAGAGGTATGGTGTTCATTTCTCCTTTTTTTGATGATTTTGTAGGATTATTGATCACTGCGAAAAATATACATCTTTCATGTCCCTATAATTGGATAGAGAGACGCAGTACCATTGCCTACTCTCCCTCATTTTTGGAGAACCCTTGAGCACGGATGGAAACATTGCGATAGGTGTGAGGTTCATTCCTTCGAACTGCTGTTGATTATGCATGTTCAGCAGAAATTACTGACTTTTTTGTTTATCGAGAGACAACAGCACCTTCCATTCGAGGCGTCTAGCACCATCATTTCTCCTAAATCTCCAAATTGCTTATGCAAGTATTGGAGGATTGTTTGCACTAATGAAACAAATGGGGGAAGTGCACTGCATCTTTCGCTCATCTCTATTTCTTCTAATTGATTTAGTGAAACCGCTATTAAAGCACCTATAGAAGACCACTAAGCCCAAAATCAACAGAGTAACGTCTGTCAGGTTTGTGATAGCCAAGCCCTCACTTGCTTTAAAATGTCTTTTTCTACCGTGTTTTATCTGGCAAAACACTATTGTGATGGTGATTACTCCACTATGTATAGTCGTTAATCGCACCCACACCTATCGGTGGTACAGACAAGGTCAATGTAACCTAGATACTACTTAGTACTCAATGTAGTAGAGCTGCACTAGCATTTCTTAAAAATGTTGGGTATGGCTTAATAACACTTGTTGCACCTCAAAACAATTCTTAGGTTGACTAAGTCAAGAACAATTTGGGTAAAAGTGTGGATGAGGGTTGCGCAGCTCATTAACAACTGCCTCTCCTATAAACGAGAATGGCTGAAAGGAGAAAGACTTGTTCATTAGAGTAAAAATTTTTGGAGAATGAGAAAACTTTAACGCCTAGAGGCAGAGTTACTGAGGGAAAAAACTCTAATTGTACGGCACTAAATTTTATTTTTCGTGACACTGTGCACGAAGTAACCTGTTTTAATTCACAGAGCTTCATTGCATTGTATCTTTCAAAAAAAGGTAGCGTAACAGGCCAGAATAAAAGAACACTGATTACGCCCCGTAATATTTGAAAGAAATTAAGTCACGGTTGATGTGATGGCGTTATAAATAGAGAAATATATCATCACTTTATGATTATCATAAGTTGCCGGTAAACAGCTATGCATTTCATGAGATTATCCCAGGTTTCAACTCGTTGAAAGTTCTCAAAAAAAGTGGAACTTCGAACTGGTGATAAAAGTCGAAGGGAGGCTAAGGACAAAAAAATCGTCAGTCTACTTCTGAAACCATGCCTTCTTTCCACTCTATCCTTCACGCACACTACGCAGGCACGGCTGTCCACCTAGACAGAGATCTGACCGCGGATTTAACAAAACTGCCATTGATGAATTTGATTATCTACTTCTTAGAGAATTGCGAGGTCAGAAGATGGAGAAACTAGAAAAAGATACATCGGGTCCATGAAAATGTCACATCTAGACCACTTAAGTTGTGCATAAATTTAACAAACTCTTTTTAATCTGTTGACAGCGCTAATAAAAGCTGTTGAGATTGCACGAAGTTTCAAGCATAGATAAGGGCATAATTGTTTTTGTCAAGAGCCGTCGGTATTGTCAATAAGTACCTGAAGACTCTCTAAAATTACTATGGACATCCTGACCTCAGCCAGAGAAACAATGGTCACAACCCTATCTCAACGTTTGACCCTCGGTCTACAGAAATGCCACTTCGTACAGACAGGTGTTCTATGACTACAAAGTTAAACAATTGGTGTACATTTTTGATTTTGATTGATAATCTTTTAAATTGCTAAACATTTTAAAAACCAGTGGAATGCTCCCGCTTTCTAAAAAGATAAATTTGTTGATATTTTTCCACCTAATTCTGATTGCTCATTCTTCAAGCACACATTGTTTTCATGGTTCATGGATTTACATTGCTACACTTTCCCCTCCTAGTTGCTCTTGAACATTAATTTGGAACAAAAAGTTTCTTGAACAGGAGGTACTGGCGTCCTTCATTAGCCAAAAAATTTCTCGATTCGTACTGGAAATGCTTTACCTGCAGCTGAATCAAAAGTCCCAGTTTACACTGTTCGCACGGTTTCAATCGCTTTACTTACAGGGTCTCTAATATGGGGAGAGAAAAGGTAACGAAAGAGATTGAACCGGTACATTGCCTGTAGTAGTAGATGATCTTAAGAGCGTCGTCAAGGTAAAGCACTTGAACACCTTGTTGCCTTTAGCTGATGCTTGTGTCAGTCCGCCTTGTCCAAAACTGTGCATAGTAATCAAGATTGCTATGATGTATTTATCTTTGTGCTTTATCTTCCACCTCCTAATGATTATAACGGCCCACATACTCCGGTGAAGGGGAGGAATAAGAACAGTCATGTGGGGAAAGTGGAAAGAAAGAAGGCGAAGTTAAAGCCTAACCTGAGTCGCGTGTGGTGCGTGATTGCCTTCAGTGTGAAGTGGTGATTTACTGAAGGCAATGTTAAGACTGACACTCATGTTGCTGCATAGCAGACTCGTGAACTCATCACTTTTTGTCTGTCGTTGTTCTCGGTGTTATCTATGAATGTTTTGGTCCGTACTGTGACAAATAGATTGATTGGCTGCACCACGATCCCCTCTTCTGTTCCAATGATCACGTCTTAATTATGTGACTAAGTTCGCTGCTCAACGATCCCATCCGATGAGGTAAGTTTATATTCGAGGAGGTCAGCTCGAATTAATTTCGATAAGTGTGGACTAGAAATCCGTTGCTAGGTTGTGGCAATTTTGGAACAAATGAAGAAATGAATTGACAGAGAAGGACTTCCTTTTCCTTATGATCTATGCACCATGAATGGGAGTGAAATGAGTTATGAGTCCTGAGCAATCAATGGTGAACTGGTTGAGGATTGGTTGCAGGTTATTTAAAAGAATAAGTACTAGACAGTGATATAAATGAGAAGTGGGAGCTACCATTGTGATGTGCAATTTTTTAAATGTAATGTTCGGCGATGGGGTGGTATATCGACTAGGGCTATGTCAACATTCAGGGGATTACTTAGCCCACCAGAAGTAGGAATAAATAGGCAAAGCATGGTAAGTGTGGGTAAAATAGAGATGCGAATGAGTAATTGAAGAACCAGAATTGCAATATGGATTCGCGGATGATATATTGTGGTTGTATTTCTCACTGGCGCACTTTTGGCTTGGAGCCGAGTGTCACTGAAGCGTTTGCGCCATTCCAATGTTCCACCGACGTACTGCAGGGTATCTAGAGATTTCTGCAGATACTTGTATCCACGCACTTTGCCTTGTGCCTTCTTTTATCACCACCTACTGCCACAACCACGAATGCACACATGCAGACATTGACATTTGCGCAGTCCGACACACACGTAGACGCACACAAAGACATTAGCGCAGCTTAGAGAAAGCCTTACCAACGCAGTCTGCAGTGAACCGGTGAGAAAAATATGCGCCGAACGCTGCGATCAAATGAGAAAAATGCCTTACTAATAGACCCTTTAGTGTTTTCAACCTGTTCCCTGATCGTCACCTTTTTAACTACTTTTCTGACGCCTCTTCTAAGTGCTCTTCCACATCGACTCGCTCGACAGTCTTCAGGTAGAATCAAATGTCAATACAATACTGATCTTTAAAAAAATGGTTTTTTTTTGCTGCAGAGAGGCAGTTTTATCATCTTACACATGTTTTTTTATGGCTAATTGACCCAAAAAATCAAAATATAGTAAAAAGTGTTGCTTAAGCCGGACCAATAAGCCACAGCGAGAACATTATATGGAGCGTTTGTCCAAGAATAAGCTTTGTTCATTAATAGACACAGCGTAACTTAAATTCTGGGAGTCCGGCAGCAATTCCATTTTTTAATTTAACTTCCCCAAAAGTGTTAGGACTCTTCAATTGTCCTTTTTGGTTACGGTCAGCAACATGAAGTAGTGCCATTTTTTCAAGACTGGAAGTAGTTCCGCTGCCGGCCTCAAAAGCTTAGCCTTCCATGGAAGATGTTTTTCTCTAGAAAAGCTCTTCAAAACCAGTCAACTAACAGATTTGGAGGTAAGTCTCCTGTCAAGCAAAATTAAAAGCGTCCATATTCTTTCCATGTAGTCAAAATTTTTCAACATATTCTATCACTCTTTTATCAATTCCGAACCTTATTGAGTCCCTCAATTTGATCCTGTTATGCACTCTTTTAAAAAGGAACAGTGTCCCCTACTTTATGTGACACCTTCCAAAAGTGGTCATTATGCCACAAAATACATCTGTCATAACGCCCAAAGTTAATCTGAAAGGGAATTATAAGAATGCTGCTAGGAAACAGTAAAATGCATGTGCTTCACTTACCACACCACAAATTATTTTAACTTGTTTCAAATATTTTTTTGTTCTTACAGCATGCAGATTCGTTAACACAACTCAAGCCTGACCTACATTTGCCCCCAATATCCAATCAGCATGCTCGGCCTACCCGATCTCATTGATTTATCGATTTATGGACTTAGAGAAGCCTACACACGTAGTATTTTGATCCGACCGCTACTCACCTCAACCATGCCCAAGTTGTACTCACCTCCAATACCCATACGTGTTGCTCCACCTGGTGATACCATCAATTTATCGATTGATGGAATAAGCAGAGTTCACAGCGACCTTGAAATAAACCTGGGGGCCTTGCACACAGCATTTGCATGTTTTATGTGTGCATTAGTAGGCTTCTGTTTGTGGCCAAGATTGGATCATACAAAAGCACCAACGACACACAAAAGGAGGAAAAGAGAAGAAGGAGAAGAATAAAAGAGGAAGAATAAAGAGGAGGATGAAAAGCCGACTTTTGTGGCTGGTCAAACGATGGAGCGAGAGGGGATGGATAAGAGGGACGAATAAATTACGGGGGTGGAGTAACGGGAAATTCAGATAAACTGTTACCCAGTTGATAGATTGGGGGAGGTAAAAGGGGATGGGGACTGCAGAGACAGTGTTAACCAGCGACAATCAACTAGATGTAACGGAGGTGGGGCGGGGAAAGGAGGACAGCTAAGCGAAAACGGAGGACGAGGGACACCACTATGACACGATACGCACACAGTTGTATTTGAGTTGGCGCCAGGTAGTGCGTGCGTACTTTTTTGTTCACGTGATCGGCCTGGCAAAAGGAGAGAGACGTAGAGCGAACGAGTCGGGCAGAAGATTGGCTGAGACGAGAGAGAGAGAGAGAGAGGAAGGTTAACCCTTCTCTGGCATCTCTTGCAGTGTGTGCCACTGTGCTATTGGTCGGCGCGGATTGGCTAGCATATCGGACCAATGACGGAGGCCTGCACCTTGGGCATTACAACCGAGCACTACTCGACCAATCGCCTCCGAAGTCCCGATTCGATCGTAATCAACCACCGTCACAATTAGCATTACTTTCTGTTATGAAAAAGTCGAATCAAGAGTGAACTAAATGGTTTAAGCCTTCAAACGACTCAGGCATAAGTAAGTAATCTCACCTGAATATGTTCAAACGGAATTTCAAAGGCGAATGATTCATTGTAATATGGATTTAGCGTGCACTTCTTAATAGTGGTTTTCTTCTTCTTGATTCGTTTGCCTCCAAGCATCAGGGACAATTTCACATAGGGATCTGTCGGAAAAGGATGAGTTCACCTATACTACCACTCAGCATTTTCAGTAAGAGAGAGAACCAACTGAAGCTAACCTGATAGACCACCAACATCCATTTTCTTCAAATTCTTTGCCTCTAAGATATTGACAGTTAGTTTTCCAGCTGTGGGCACATATCGCAGAGAGAAACAAATGTCTCCAAGCTTGTTCTCCTACAGACAAAATTCATTATTATTGCAATATCAGTCGAGAACGTAGAATAACGAAATCAGGAACAACTTGGTCACCTTTTCGTCGTCATCTGGTGGTAACAGATCCCGCCATTCCTCGATCACGCGCGCTAAATCAACCGAGCCGAGGGGTACGACGATTTGTCCAATTTGGTCGTGTTTCGAAAACCGGTCAAAATCAAAAACGTTAAAACGGAGAGTTTTTCCTGCAACCTCGGCATAAGGAACCTATAACGCACAAGTGAATGTTTTTGGACAGAAATTTCTGGAACAAAGTGCCGAAAAATAAGTACGAAAACAATTAGTACAAATCGAGCAAAGTGACCAATCATAGCAGGGAGCGCATTTGAAAACAAACAATCCTCCCAGTCAGTTAAGCTAAATGCTCGCCTGGATAACGGGTTTAGAGGTCAGTCAAAATTCCTCACTCCTCACTTACAAAATCAGTATTTTTTGTAGGTCTATAAAGGGGAATGGGGTTCTGGAAATACAGGAGTGTAATTAATAGGAAATGCAAGAACCGCTGAACTAACATAGTCTTCATTGGTGTGTTCACAAACTCGAGTTATAGAGACATTTGGCGGATATATGACATGCAGAATTACATGCGAGTTTAAAGCTTCAGAGATTCTTAAGCTGTGCATACAAATGTTATATCATATTTTTCATTTCCACTAGTGAATTTCCATTTTGGGCTTTCCGAAAAAAATTGTCTTGAAATAGGTACAACTCATGCAATTTATTTACTTGTTTTATCCACTTAAGTACTTTAAATAAGTTATTTGGAAGTATTCACGTCATAGAATCTGAAAATCAGAAAGTATCCGAGTTTACAATAGACATTTTGCGGATTTCTAAAGTAACTTATCGCCGAATACTGCATCCAAAGTTAAACCTTACTGCCTATTGTAAAACCGAGTAAAATAACGAGCTGCCTTTTTTCAAGGGGTTGCTAAAAGGAATAGCCTTAACGTGGTAAAGTTGATGGATGATTTAGAGCACAAGGAAAAATACTATGCTAAATTTTAACCTCTCAGGTCACACGGTAAGAACCCTGTTTGGCCATCCTGAAACCAGACTTAGAGTAAGCTGAAACCGTTGACCTTCTTTGACCTGATAATTTCGTACCCTTAATTAACTCCATGCTTATCCATCAGGCACAAATTCCGTCAATCCTTGACAGGTTTACCTGTTACAGACAATAAACATTGCTGAGGAGGTGCCACATCTTTCACAGCGCCCATCAACTCTCGTTAGGTCGAGCCTAACAGCGTCTATTTTATGCATTTTTAACTTATTTAATGCTGCATGAAGGAGGAATTCGCCATATTGAAGGTAATTATTTCCAGCGCAAGAACCGCCTCCCCCGCTACCCATTTTCTAGCAGTAAAGTGGAGAATTCAAAGGGCAACACCAAATTGTACACCAATACGCCTCACTCATTGGTCAGTGCTGGGGACAACTGCATGCCCCTGCAGGTCGTATAAACCAATCACAGCGTTAACTACAATTCAAGTAGTTCGTTGTTGCTAAGATCGAGACGGACATTAATGGTAAAATTACCATCAGGCATATGGCTAGCATATCGTGTTTATCTCATCACCCCTCTACGTTGTGATGACATTGCAGGTTAGGTTCGTGAGAAAAAAAGAATGGGAGGTCAATTTAATTCCTACACACAAGTAGAGTAAATAACCGAACTTTGCGGGATTAGACGGTGTCAGGAATATTAATGGAACCACTCTTTGGTGTTTCAGGTGACCAGTTTCCTGAGCTTGTCAAAAACTTTTACTTAATTTGGCATTTCGAGCTAGAACAACTGAAAGTAAACCGTTGCCAAAAGCAATTGTAGCCTCAAGCCACTCATATTTGCTCTCAACTTGTTAAAATCCTATTTTCTCACTAGAATGGGGAAAGTAATTCCAAATTGATGGGATTTTTAAAAGTTGCTATCGCAAAACCCGATTAGTTTTCACTTTTAGCATGAATTGTTGGAGAAAAAAGTTGAGAATTTCTGTCGTTTTTTGCACACCAATTAATGATGAGCCTTATCGCTCTCCATCAGACAGTAAGCATTCTAAAAGTCAGTTTTTTAAAAACCAAATGCCATTTAAAAATAGTTTTGCTTGTTTTACCCCTCTTCCAACATTTATTGCAAACAGTTTATCACGCTTTCTTTTCAAATGCGATCTCATTATGTCCCAGCACTGCCCTTCGCTCGACTCCTTTGATTGGCTAGCAAGAGAGGCATTCATGGAGGAAATTAAAAATGTTACGCTTAACAAGAAAGTTACGGCTCCCTGAATTTGTTTGAAATCGAATCGAATGATTCACTAATTCATGAAGACGCCACTGTCTGGGCCTTCCGATTAAGGAAAAAACGTCTCTCATCTCATTTTGACACTATAAAAGCAGCAGCTCGAGATTCAACAACTAACCTTGAATAAGAAGGTCTCGTTAAATACGGGATTTAGTGTTTTGCGATGAACCTTGGTCTCAAATTTCTTTTTCTCCGGCATGAGATACACTTTCACGTAGGGATCAGAGGTGCCGGACATATCCATTCCTGGCAGATCTGTCGCCTGAATCACCCCTACTGTCAGCTGAAAAGGAAAAAGTCTTCTGAAATTATCTCAGCATTTTTAATCTGCAAAGATGCTTAAATATTAAAAGATGTTTTATTAAAAGTTTTTGAGGGAAAAATGTGATGTTGTAATGCTTTAAAGCAAACAAATTTCTTTTAATTTTTCTCACTTATTACAAGCTCACTATTTTATTTTACCCGAAAAAAAATTTTAATGCCCCACTTATTGCCTGATCTACTTCGTGAGCTTTGTATGTTTTTGATTATCTTCCCTTCTCCCTTCCGTGTCGTTCCAATGCACCGGTATGATCATTCTATTCCTTGTCCTAGATGATCGGGATTAGGGCGGCATTTTAAAGCCAAATTAGTGAAACATCACCATGCTAATGGTAAATGACAAATTTTACTTCGTTCTTCACAAGATGGTAGAAAAAATTCGTCTAGATTTAAAATGGTCAACGCCTAAGTCCTTTTTTATAATAAAAGCGAAATTTTTTCTCTGCTCTATAGTTTTTATGCACTGTCGTATTTGTAAATAGGGCTATTTTGAGGTTTGTTTTTTCAAAAATTTTTAAAAAGAGTGCAAGATCTTTTTTTTAACCTGCTAAAAGTTTGCTAGCATATTTTGGACCCCGAACAAAACTCGACAACCACTGAACACCTAACCGATTGGTTAAAAATGAGTAATTAACCACAATGGGCGATGGGTTGGGATGCCACTTTACTCCACCTTCAAAAAGTGGGCAGAACTTCTTTTTGAAGAATACTCTAAAATAACGTAGTTGGTTTACGTCACCGTATGAATTACCCATCTGTGTTGAATGATTCGAGGTATAATAAAGGAAGGACATCAATTTGTGATCTTATCCAATAATAAATATAACTTTTTATAATGATTTTGCCATCACGCAGTCCATTTGAGTTGTTTGAAATAAGCTGGTAATCATTTGAATTGAAGCGAGATGAGACAAATGATGTCGCCTTTCAAAACTTCCCATTAAACTACCCATTGGCGACAACACCTCCAGCAGTAGTAGCCCACAGAAATCACACACTCACATACCTCGCCTTTTGTGAAATCGTAGTCGAGAGAAAATTGGAGTTTTCCAAGATTCTGTTTCTCCTTCTCCGTCACCCCCTCGTTATCCTCCATATTCTCCTCCAAGGCTTCTAAATCACCCTAAAGACGGAAAAAAGGATCAACTTATTTAATTACCATTTTCAAGAAAAGAGTTAGAGGAATGCACCGCACTCTCTATGTTAACATTTGGTGTAATTTCCCATGGTTGAGGTCCATTAACCAAAATGTTTAAAACCGTTAGTACTTTGTTAGTAGTAAAAAGCTGCCTCATATTTTTTCCTCAAAAAAATTTCGCATCCGTCAACTATTCCATTTTCTAAAATCCAGCTTTTTTAAGTTTATTTTAAATATTTACTTCATTAATCTCTCAATAATCTTAAAGAAATACTCATAAATTTAAAAGTTTGCTTTTTGACGATGTCATTTTGCATGAATGTGGCTTTTTCGAACAAAAACAGATTAGGATGAATTTAAAGAATTGGGAAAGTAGATTTTTTCGAAATAGAAAGTGGAAAAAATACTGTTTACACTTTTTCCTCCATTGCCTTGGTATCCATGCCAAGACGACATAGTCTTTTACATTTTACTCCTAAATTGTGGAGAGGGAGTGAGGCACAATTCGTTTCCACATGTTAAATCCAGTGCACATTTTCCTTCTAAAAGTAGCGCTAATTTTTTTCAAGAGTTTCTTAGTTTGAGTGATCTAGGTGAGTGGAGGATATTCCTACGGTTGAGGGTTACGGCCCGCTAAAATTGTATGGACCGTGCTTTATGTACACGAAGTATCGGTACGACACTTCCTTCTGTCATAAGTCTAAACCCGCTTTTATATAGGACTCGTTGGCGGAAAACGACGGCCAGAAATGATTGAAAAGGCCTGACATTGACGTCTAGTGAGTATATGCTGAGCTGTAAGGGGAATTGGTTCTAACAAAGTTCTATCTGAATGTCAAGTAGCTAAAGCTCAATAAACCCCAAATTGTCGGAAGGGAAACATTTACGTGAGAAATCACTACTTGAAAGAATGTCTAAAAGTCCCAAATTTTTACAACTTTTTTTCTCGAAAACCTGACCCTTGAGGCGATTTACACACTGAGATAGCAGAAAAAAGATCCCATTTTTCCACTTGATCTTTTCCTCTAGGTGGATGATAATCTTTCCTCAATGTCTATCACGTGTGAAGTAAAACAGACGGTTAAGTAAGTCTATAAAATTAAGCAACAGCATTTTACGGAAAATTTGCAAATCTTTTGATAGTGTCTACCATCATGACTCGTTTTAATGAGTAGCAACACCTGTACAGTGTTCAACTGTTAATGAGCCTGTATCATGTGGCTTACTACTATTTGTTGTGCTCTGCACCGACCTCTTTTTTCCTGGACTCTTGCACTAAAAATTTGGGTTGAACCTGATGGATGGGGGATATGGACTGGGTTGGGTGCCAAACAAAAAAAGAGCTTTTGTATTCCATAATTCATCAAACAAAAAACGCATCATTAGTTAGCCCCAAACGATCCACCACGCAATCCCAACGCTATACTACATAACTCGAAGGTTGAAGATGAAAAAATCTTTTTCGCAAATAATTCGAGTTTGTTAAGCAGTCCGAGGTAAGTGCTTTCCTCGCAAGACTGAGCAAGACATACAACCACGTTTAAGAATTGAATGGAGGGAGGGGGATAGTACCCCCTTCCTATTCTCATTTTCAGTACTCCCCTGACAGTTTGTCTTTAAGTGCTTTTCACCTTCACCTAACATTCGACAGTCACGCATCAAATATAAGATTTTGAAAGTGACGGTAAGTAGAAATCGGGACCATTCTGCTGTTACTTCACAGGTAAAAAAACCAACAAATATGCATTCCGTTGAGAAAAGATTTATTTATCGAATAAAACACTTTATAAGTCACATTTCAGATATTACATTTTTATGGAGAAAACTCCGTAAGAAATTCATTTGATCATCTTACATTTGCCTACGCGGTCATTGGCATTACTTTGCTTCCGCTCTCTTATCTTTCCATTGGAAGTAATCCAGGATAGTGAATTGGCAGCAAATGTAGGTAAATTCACCCCAGAAGACTATTAACCTCAAAATTTGCCTTACAAAGTGCCAAACTTAAAAGATATAGAGGCATGTCGTCTGCTGTGGATGGTTGATTCTGTGTAAACTCACAACAGAGGAGTCGGGTAGACAGGACTCTGACTTGCCGCATACTTTAACTCCTTTTTCTTCAACATGGTCAGTACTTATAGAACAAGGTCGGATGCAAAAAGGGTGAAAATATCTCCTTATGAAATGTTTACGAATTACAATTTACTAGCGGCCTGGATATATGGCACTCCTGTTTATCCATTTGCAAACAACTGTGGGGAAGGTAATGCAGGCCAGAGAGGGGTAAATGGAGAAGAAAAAATATGACACAAATGGTTGCGAATTACTAGTTTAGCTAACTTTATTCCTATTCCCTTTTCTATCCAGAAAAAGGGTCTTGATTCAAAAGGAATGAATACCGTCCAGCCTTTTACATAAACTCCAAATAAAAGGTCTTCCTGGCCCATATCGCCTTAAAGAAAAAGGCAATACTCCAAAGTGGGATCTAACTTGATAATGCACACCAGCAGTAATGAAGAAGCTAGCATTTCTCCCTACATATGGTGCCTCACGACAGCTAAGGCATAAAAGTGACCACAAGGTACACAAAAAATTACTTTCAAAGGGCCGAGTAGAATTGCGTAGTGTGGATGCTTAACGATGTATATTTCTCAGTCTCTGGAGGCTAGGTCATCTAGTCCTTGTCGATATCCCCATGGGGCTTCTTTAGCCATTAGCGAGCCTCCCAAACTGGTGTCACATAATTCAGCGGAAAATTATTCTTGTTGAATCATGCTTTGTCGGGGACTTTTGGGCTCGATTACGAAACCAGACGATTAGTTTTTTATTAGATCAGTATTGTAAATCTGTCATCTTTTAGTCAAGATACCATCTCACTTTATTTTACCGTTTGATTCCCTGCTAAGCGTGTTAACAATGATAAAATGGAATGCAGGGAATATATTTTACGTCTCGTTCATCAATAAAATGGCCTTAATTAAGGAAACTACAAGTCAGTTCTAAACCTTTTCCATTGATTTTGAAAAAAAAAAACAGAAGCGATTCTTTACCTTATTAAAGAATCCTTGAAGCGAGGCATTTCTCAGTGACATGGAGGCAAACAAAATTCAGCCTCTTGATATTAAAAGCACACTTTTCAAATTTTCATAGCGCAGGCACTAAATTATTTAGCTCTTTATTGTCACAAAATTGGAACTATTTTGCTTGACCTACCCAACAAACAATCCTCAGCTCACTTTAAACGCCAGGTGGGC